GCGGTTCTTTGCAAGACCTTCGTGAGAAAGCCCAGGCAACTGGCGTTGACTTGGAGGACATGGCAGCCCCCCACTTGGCGGACCTGACTGACACCTTGGAAAGGAAGAGGAAAAGACGCAAGAAGTCCACCGGCGAATCCGGAATCTTGGAAGCATGTCTGGTGAGCTGTGCTTGGATGTTGGTTGTGAGTTTGTGTGTTCTTCTCTTTGAAACATCAGGGGGTTGTCACGGATGATGGGAACTGTGACTCGGTGGGTTAATCTAGCCTTCTGATTGCGGCTCAGGACTGGAAAGTTCAAACAGCGAAGACGACACCCCGGCAAAAGAAGATGGTAGCGCTGCTGCCGGTAGCGGCAGCGGTGCAGGTGCACCCGGTGGCCAAGACAAAGTGAAGTGGTTTGACGCAGAGACAAAGTGCCGAAAGGCAGAGCGCGATTGGGTGACTGGCATAGAAGGCCTTGAGAAAGCTGCGGAACTGCAGTCCAAAGAAGCCATTGGTGTGCTAGAGAGCTTCCGAGCTTTGCCTGATGCAAGCCGCTTTTCCACAGAGATGTCCATCTTGGGAAAGCGGGTGTCTTGGCTGCAGGCAATCCAAGAGGGTGACCAGGCGGTGGAGAAGCTCATCGAGGAGGCTGACAAAGAACAATTAAAAGAGGATGGCGAGTCAGACAAGAAAGCAGGAACAACAAGCGACGACGTGGAAGCTTTGGCTCGCGCCGGGCCATGCCACGGCTACCAGGCGCTGAAGTCCTTCTACACTCTCAAGGCCTTTGGCCTCAAGTTTCGATCGTGCAAATCTGCGGAAGAGATTAAGGCAGTCCAGGAGCTTGGGCACGCAGGGAAAAAGCAGACAGGTGTGCTTTCGTCCGCTGTCAAGATTGCGCTGTCTGACTTGCAAAACGCCAAGAAGCGGGTTGAGACGCAGAAGAAAAAGGAAGAGGAGAAGGAGAAGAAGGCAAAGGCCAAAGCACAGACCCTTGATGCGAGGCTTCTTGATCCGCCAGTAAACGCAGCTCGCAGGAAGTCAGCAAACGCAGGGCACGCGTTGCTTGACACTTCGGCCAAGGTGTGGGATGACGAAGGCAACCGCATCCCATCTTCCTTTCAGTGGCAAAGTGGCTGGGGCCTTGACAAGCCCTGGATTATCAGCAATGCCAAATTGCCAGAAGCCGTGGGCGCGCGACTTGGTGAATTTGGAACAGTGTTCGCGTCGTCAAGCCTTCGAGTTACAGAAGGCAGAGCGCATTGCCCAATGTCAGAGGAGCTGACAAGTCAAGTGCACCAAATGTTGCAGGGCAATGCTGCGCTGCGTGATGGGTGGCTGCTGGGAAAGTGTGGCGTGGAATCCTTGCAAGCAGCGCAGGCCCCCAGACGGGTGAAAGAATTGATGAAAGAAACCACCTTTGGAATTGCCAGCTCTTCAAGTTCCATTGCAAGATTCGAACTTGACCTGTTCCCATGCCTTCGTGTGGTCCACAAGGGCTCAATGCAGGTTGCGCTTTGGGCTATGAAGCAACCAAAGGATTTGCCGCAGCAAGTGGAACTTGTGGCCAAGGCCACGCAGCAAGAGGTGGCTAATGCCTGCACGTCTGGCTCGGTGTCGTTTGGCACCATTGGCCCAGGGGATTGCTTGTACATCCCACCGGGATGCCTTGTGACTCACCTGGCGCACAGCGTGGATGTCCTGGGCGTTAGGCTGGGTGTTCTCCACGCTGGAATGGCTGACGGCTTTCAGGCCTTGCTGGACGCAAATCCCGGCCAACAAGCAAGAGGGCCTTTGAGTACCACGTTGCAGTTCTTGAAGCAGCTTGCCAGAGCGGCAGCCGGAGCCCAGGAATCCCCTTTGCAACCGCCCATTACAAATGGCAGCGAAGCAGAGAAGACAGAAAACGACCAGCAGGCGCGCGATACTTCAATTTGTCTTGGCACACCAGTTCTGGTCCTGGTAACAAAGTTTTAGCAACACGCTATTCATCACTTGGCAGTTGGCTTCTGTTGCAGTTTGCTTTCTCGTGCTATGATTGTTTGATGTTGTGTTGAGTTTGGAAAAATCAACTTTCATGTGAGAAACTGATCACCCTGGAAGGACAAGAAAGAGGACGTTGCGAAGAAGGCCGCTGCTGAAGACGCCAGCGCAAATAAAGCAGCTGAGAGGCTGGCAGAAGAAGCAGGAGGAGCCAAAAAGGATGCCGACGAGAAGTTGACAGCAGAAGAAGAAGCAGCAAGGAAGAGTTCCATCGCAGAGGCTGAGGCCCAGAAGCAAGCAGCTGAGAAGTTGGCGGCGGAAGAGGAAAGAAAGAAGAAGGCTGAAGCTGAAGACGCAAAGAAGGCAGCAGCAAAGAAGTCGGCGGAAGAGGAAGAAGCAAGGAAGAAGAGTTTCTTGGAGGCTGAGGCCCAGAAACAAGCAGCTGAGAAGTTGGCAGCGGAACAGGAAAGACTGAAGAAGGCTGAAGCCGAACAGGCAAAGAAGGAAGCAGCAGAGAAGTCGGCAGCAGAGGAACGCGCAAGGAAGAAGAGTGCCTTGGAGGCTGAGGCCCAGAAAGAAGAAGCTGAGAAGTTGGCAGCGGAACAGGAGAGAAAGAAGAAGGCTGAAGCCGAACAGGCAAAGAAGGAAGCAGCAAAGAAGTCGGCGGCAGAGGAAGCAGCAAAGAAAAAGGCCTCAGCCGAAGCAAACAAGAAGAAGCAGCAGGAGCAAGAAGCTCAAAAGACCAAGGATGACAAGAAGGGTGACAAAGGTGCCAAGGACACCAAAAAAGATAAGAAAGACAAGAAAGACAAGAAGGAGCGGTAGGGGTTGCCCTGCGCCAGAAGCTGGCTGGGTGTTGCGGGAGGCCCCAGCTGCGGGAGGCTCCGCAAAACTTGCGGGAGGATCCGCTACTTGCGCGTCGACAGGTGAGTCTTCGCTTGGCAAGGGGGAAGAAGCGCCAATCTTTGCGGGATACTTTACCTTGAGTGGTGAGCCAAAGGGGAGTTGTTGAGCTGTATTTATCCTGCGCAAGGGCCAGCCAGGGACAACCAGGGACCAAAACCACGAGGGTGCAGTGCGGCACACTTGCTTTCAAAGGGTTGGCCCTTGCTCGGGTCGGAATCTTATTTTGTTGGCCCTGTGGCCTGCTTAGCACGGGGTATGCTTCGCTGCAACGCGGCAAAAAGGATGGACGCCATCTGATTCCACCAGTCATGGCCCATGGTTTGGAGGTTGCAGCCCGGTTTTGAGATGGGATGCTGCTCGACCTTGTGGGAACCCATCGTATTTTCATATTCGGATCGGGCAGTACCACTTCCCATGTTACTTGTTTTTCAGCATGGTTTACATTGTATCTGATCAGTAGCCACCCCGGATAAGCCATTTGGAAATCCAACACCCCCCCCCCCAGTCCTGCCCAAACAAACTGCAGACTGCCATCGGTTTGTCAGTTGCTCATATCCAACAATATCACCACGGGACACCCGACAGGAAATGACTGGCCCAATCCGATATATACATATATATATATGTATAAATCTGCAAAACTGACAGGGGCCACCCAAAACTGGGAGCCTGGTAATATCAACCCCATTCAATTGACTCATCGTTCTTTTGAGAAACCACTGAGCATTCTTCGATGTCCGGCTACCATTTTTAAACAGATCCTTACAAAAGCACAGATAGCAGGCTTCCACGCTAAAGTCGACAAACAACTGTTCTTTGCAGCCCACATCGAACAACCAACATAATCACACGCCAAGTGCAGCAATGCAACGTGCCAGGGTTGCCTTTCGTCCAGTTTTGAGGAAACACAGCACCTCCAAGAGGGCTGACACGTAGTTGGACCCTCGAAGAGTGTTCCTGCATGGTTCTGCGAAGAAGCCGGTGTAACAGGCATAAGGGCCTGCATAAATTCGAATAGGGGTTTGGGGCAGCCACATTGCATCATGTAGGAAACTGAAATCTTGCAAAAATTACGCTTGTAAATGATAGATATCTTTATGTTCAAAAATTACATTGAGTTCATGATGATAGTTATATTCTTCAGCCCCTTGTAAATTATCCTGGCGCCACCCCTCGGGCCTCGCGGTTTTTTTTGGTCGACCTGAGCTATGAGCCCAAAGCCGCCCAGCACCTGTTCCAGGTTGGCCAGCTTGCTTCCTCAGTCCGTTGGCGCTTCAGAGCTTGCAGGGATGGCCTCCCCGTAAATCCCAGTTTAAACAAACCAAAGGGCACCCTTGAAAAACCGCAACTAGAACCTACAAGCAACCATTGTGTTGGCTTTATGGTTGGAAATGGACAAGTTTCTTTGGGCTCCATCCCTCTGACTAGTGAATGCTACTTCAAAACAGGGCCACGCACAACCATTGGCATCTTTTCACCTTGGCACCTCCCCTCCAGAAACCGTGGCTGTGAGCTGGTTGCCACGCGGGTGTCTCTGGTCAAGTGCCACATGGTCAAAAGACCTTCTCGAACTTTGGGGTTAGGGGTGGCCAAGAACCCCTGAAAGGTTTTTATCTTTCGGAGCCACGACCAGGGCCTCTAAGGCCTAAGGTGTTTTCTCATGGCTCAGAGGATGTTGCCGACATAGCCTAGAGCCAACTGATTTCTGCAGCTCTGGGCTTTTCGGAAAGCTTCCGGAAGCGAATTTGCATGGAAACCACCCCGGATTTTCCCAGGCGTAAAGATTCATCAACCATTTCTCGTGGAAGGCCTACATTCTTGCAACCTGCGGGTTGGGGTGTTTACCCCTGCGCAGGGCAGAAGCAAAGGGGACACACCAGTTCCAAGCTGCAAGTTCGCACTGCCCAACGTGTTGCCAACCAAACCGATTTCTGCCAGACGGTTTGCCTATTTGCCCTTTGGCACCAGGACCAGGGTGAAAGTAGATGGCACCGTCCGTTCTATATGGGCAAGCAGGGGGGATGGGCAAACCAGGAAATTGTGCCGTCTACATTTACCTATACTTTTCCCTCACTTCCCGTTTTGACCTGTACCTGCTTGAGGGTCTACGTCTGACCATTTGGGGACTCAGCCTCGCTCTTGGGCGGCAAAACTCACCTTTTGGCTGGCCGAGAAGCCCAGATTATACGGGTTCTCCATGTTGCTGTAGTTGCCCTGGCCACGTCGCTTAATGACAGGCCTAAACGTGCGGGATTCTATACCAAACTGCTCCTCCAGGCGGCAAAAGGATCACCGGTGGACAAAGAATTGTGTGTGTCTGCACGTGTTTGTATTTGTGTGTGTGTGTGTGTGTGGTGAGAGAGACGCACACCACAGAAATGGTTCGGTGAGACACGGCTGACACAGAGAAGTCCTATGCATTTCCTTTCAAACTAGTACGCACGCACCAAACTTGATGCATCATGGTGGTGGGAAACAACCTTTTCCGTTTCAGAGGAAGAAAACAAAAACGGCCCACACGGAAACACAAACTTCGTTCATCGAATCCTCTTACACCACGGGCCCCCGAAGAAAAGCGGTTGGTTTAACCATCAAAGAAAGTTTGGTTCTCATTAGTTTTCGGACACACCGGGAGCGCAAAGGTCACCAACTTGCTCAATTGTCCAGCGGCGATTGGCAAAAACGTCTTGCTGGCGGATCTTGTATATCTGGAAAAAGCGGAACCCACTGGTTGGACACTGCAAACACAAAAGGACGACCGCCCACGTCAAGTTCTTAATATCGGCTGAGGTGCGGCCCTTGTAGGATTTACCCAACACTCGAGTCTAAGCCGCAAGCATTGATCACTCACCATCCACGGGGAAGAGACGCATCAATTTGCAGGGAAGTAACTGGCTAGCGTTGAAGCCGTAACCTAGATTGTTCAAAATGAGGGAATCCAACATTACCCTAATCCGTGCGACACCACAAGGGAAACCACTACCATCCCCGAAAAGCATTAAGGATTGATTCCGAATATCTCCGCTTTTCGGTTGCTTGCCGGTCGCGATGGAAACCCCAAAGGATGCCTAAGTAAGAACTCACCTGGCAAAACTTTTAGAGCCCAGGCAAGCCCAACGACAGCCTCGGATGACCAACACTTCGCGCCTCAATGGCTGTCATGTTGCCGCAGGCCAATGGGACGTGAGTGAACCTGGAGTGTAGAGAAGTTAGACTGCCAAGAAAAAGAGTCGCGACGACGTCAAATCGCTATGAATTGTCTGAGTTGGAACCACCTCGGAAGAGCTTGGGTGAACATGACTCCCCAATTTCTGATGTTCACCATTTCGGGCCCATTCCAATTCACACCCACCGTATCGCACGAAGAAAGCCAAGACTAAGTTGCGGAACCAAAGCCCCGACTGGACTCGAAGCATTGCCTCACCCAAAATATGCGGAAGCCACGCTCTGAAAAACATGGAGCCGCAACGTTCCCTTGTTTTCAGGCACCGCTTTGGTTAAGGTGGGAAACCCCGTGTACCCTCTACAAGAACCCGGAGTTCAAATCCCACCAACCCAAACCACCAAAATTTGAGACCTTGGCCGGAAATGTGAAAAGAGGAGCCATGAATGTATTTGCGTTGGACCGAGCGCGTGGTTAGATTCTGTGACTTCGGATTCATCCGGACCAAACAAATTCCAATCCCCATACTGGCGCGCAATTCCCCGCCAAAAGGGGTGGTCGCCGCATGATTCACCTCCTAACAAAGTGACCATTCCTGAAGAAAAACACAAAGACAACAGACAACCATCCAGCACTACCCAAACAGGGTTCGCGAATCTAGCTCCCCGTGAAAAAGAAGCGAAACTCACCTTTGGACCGAAAAGGGCAATATCTGGTTCTACCTGTTTACTACTAATATTATTAATCTCATTATTATCATTATTATTATGGTTTGTTGTTTACGTTTGTTTAAACCTCGTGTTCTACGGGTGGCTGTCTTTTTGTTGTGGTGTTCACCAAGAAAACTCGAGCGGACCAGCCGACTCTCAGTCCCGCGCAGCATTGGCACCAGGAGCACTCCCAGAAAGAGCGCGAGGCCTTCGGCCGCACACTCACAGGTTTATCAGGGATCCGGATGCATTATACACCTGAACATTGCAACTTGTAAATGGTGACGCTTTCCCTTTTTTATATTGGTGTTGAAAAGGCAACATGCTTCAAATGGTTGCAAGATGTATCTTTTAAGGAGCCCTGCTTATTAATAGGGGGATGTTTCCTCCCAAAAGTGTCAGGAACACCCTTTACAAATAAACAGGGGTTGATTCATATGTGGCTTGGTCCTCCAGTAGAGAGGTTAGAAGAAGGGTACCAACTTTTTTCTGTAGTCAATATTTAGTAGGGGAACCCTCCCAACCAAAAAGGGGTGAGAAAGGGCACTACTGGGACGCATTCACTGGGTTGCTCTTCACTTCTGAGCGAAAGGTCGATTACCTTTTGTAGGTGCAATGAAAAAGCCATTGTTACGCCGTCTCTGCGCTTTGCTTTTGCGGCTCCCGAACCCTGGCAATGCTGCTGCTTGCTGCCCTGCGCTTGTGGGAAACTCAACCCACAGCGCAAGGCTCTTGATGCCACCCTCGGGTTTGGGTTGAGCAACGGGCGTGTCCATCTCACTCATGTAGGCGGCTTGCGTTGACAGCTTTAATGTATGCTTGTCAGGTGCCAAACTGAGATTCAGCATCAATTATTTGGACCCATTGGTAGACATCCTTCCGTGGCTTGAATGTGCACCAGGCATGCTTGAGGGTACTCCATATCAACAGTCATAGCCACACACACACACACATACATATATTCATACATCTACTCACTTCCTGAGTGGATTGGCCAAACAAAGTCTCCACATTATATTTGCCCCTAAAATTGTCTTCCCAAAAAGAACAAAGTCCACTAACTCAGGCAGTGAGTCTACATACACACGTGTGTGTATATATATATATATGGTACAGCGTTGCCAGCCCCCCCCAATGGTCATGGGTCAGACAAGTACCCCCCCCCCTGTGGTTGTGGTCCTGTGGTTGGGTTGTGGTGGTTTAGAGTTGGTTTAGAATTGGTTTAGGGTATATTTAGGGTGTATTTAGGGTTAGTTTAGGGTTGGTTCAGGGTTGATTTAGGTTGATTTATGTTGATTTAGGGATGGTTTAGGGTTGGCTTAGGTTTAGAGGTGTACGGTTTAGGGTTTGGTTTAGGGTGTATTTAGGGTTGGTTTAGGGTTGGTTTAGGTTTAGGGTTTATTGTTTAGGGATTGGTTTAGGGTGTATTTGGGGTTAGTTTAGGGTTGGTTTAGGGTTAGCTTAGGGTTGGTTTATGTTGATTTAGGGTTGGTTTAGGTTTAGATCTACGGTTTAGGGTTTGGTTTAGGGTGTATTTAGGGTTGGTTTAGGGATAGTTTAGGGTTGGTTTATGGTTAGTTGCGGGTTGGCTTGTCCTGGGGTGGGGGTGCCGGGGTTTCTGGGTGCGAGTTCAGGGGGTCGGGGTGGGGGTGGGACCGTAGGTGCCAGGATCCGGGGGGCTCGGGGTCTCGGGCCCCGGGGGGGGGGGGGGGCCCTGGGGGACCATACCATATGGGGGGGGGGGGGGGGGGTAGCAACATGGAACACGGGACCATATATATATATGTATATACAGGGCATAGACACACTATGACACATACATGTTAGGCATTTGTTGCATCTATATAGTACGCATGGCACCTTCAAACATCAGGAAGGCCACCATGTCCGTGATCTGCAGCTCTTCCTGCGAGGCCCGCCGAATATTCGAATGGCCAGTCCCGAAAATTCCCGGATCAAGGGAGTCCTAATATAGGTGTCCTTTTAGGGGAACTAGATGGCCCTGGTAGATGATTAAACCACCAGGTAAACCATGGCCATCTATTTTTCTACCAAAACAATCAAAAAGGACACATATGAGCCCTAACTGGTTGGTTCCATGCATCCAACAAGCTTGGCTCACAAGGAAATCAAAGTGTGGCGCTTCCATTGCTGGAAACAGGGGAATATATAGACCTCACCTGTTGAGGGGATCCCTTTTAGTTGGTGACTCTTTTTTTCAGAATAAGAAAGCCCCTAAAGAATGACTGGGGAGTTTAGTAGTCGGTGGTCAACATGTTGGCCTCTTGACACTTCCGTTGTTTGAGACATATGGGTTTGTCGCAAACGGGTGGCAGCGGACCACCCAAAATCGGTCCCCAAACAGCCCCCGATTTGTATTTTTGGGGCCCTACGAACCCCAGCCCGGAGGAGCGGTGGCATCTGGATCTTTCAAAAGCCGAAGCCGGAGCGTCTGGCCGCCCCTGTGCCACTACATTTCCCTGAAACGACTCCGGGGAAGTCACCAGCTGCGTCGCGCTGATTCCACCAGAGAAGGCTAAAAAAATGGCTCCAAAGTACATAACCCATAGCCTCTAGTGGCCAAATATGGGATCCTATGCGCCTGGGCCCCTTGGTATTTGTCTTAGGCGGCGAAGACTTCACCGGCACCGACACGTGTCGCTTTTTGCTATTTGAACTGGCCATTGGAAAAGGGATTCCCATGGTACACTGACAATAGCCTCTAAACAGAAAAGTGGTATCCAAAGTCTGGGAACTTCTCATGCACCTTCAAACAAATCGGGTCACAAACCCTCGATTTGGCGGCTTCTTGGGGTCCCTTAAAGGGACCGTGTGACAACCCACCCAGAACCGCCCTCCATTCCCTCAGTTGTTCAGTGACCCTGGAAAAACTGGCACCCTTTTTGGGGAAGACCCTTTTTTGTGGGGCCGCCAAAAAAAAAGGAACAATAATTGGTGCCGCTGAACAACTGAGCTCCATTCGAGCCGCCTGCCACTCCGTGTCGAGTCCGATCAGCTGCTCCAGGACTAGCAGAAGCTCCGGCAAGGAGGTGGCGATCCCCAGCAACTCAGGGGCGTCCGTGTCCAGCTTCCCTTCAAGTGGTTTGGAGGTTCCAGGTGTCCCACCCTCTACAAGAACCAGGGTCCAAATCCAAATCCAAACCACCAATTCAAGCCAGGGGATGCCAATGTGTCTATCATGCGCTGGTCCGACGTGAGTTTGTCTACAATTGATTGAAGCCCAACAAAACTGAGTCGTTCCCTGTGAATCCATTTTCAACCACCCCACTGAACCCAGTTGACCAGTGATCCTTTTGAAATGACTCTTGAAGCAAGCAAACTTCGTGAATGTCATCCTATCCATGATCCAGAGTCTGATAAGAATCCGGTGACCTTGCAGAGACGGAGATGCACCCCTTGTGGGGTTCACCAATCTCTACGAGGAAACACCTAACAACAAATAGCTTTCTGGGTGCCACTAAAGAGGAAAGGGTCTCACTCCTCTCAGGAAATGTTTCCCAGGCGCAACAGGGTCTTGCCCCTTTTTCTTAGCTGTTCGATGACCAACCCAAATAAGTGACAACCTTCCCAGCACATGGCAATGTGTTTTGATATTGCACAAGACACACATACTTCCATCCATGTGCATCCATACAGCTACATGAAAGGCTACTCCAAACGTTCTTGCGCAGCACAAACACAACCTTGTATGGTTGGTCAAACCTTTGGTTGGTGTTTGAAGCGAAGCCCGAAGGAAACCAATATTTTAAGCAACACTCATTCACTTGCCCAAAGCATCAACCAAAAGGTTAACCATGATGATGTCAAAAAGTTAAACTTGGACAAGTTAGTGCAATACATACACGGGAGTTGATCAAAAGGTCCTTTACACGGGACCACTGAGAATGATGGATATTTCCCACTAAATTGGAATAGTTACTCATGGTCATCTGGGTCCAAATGGAAACAAGCTTCCCATTGTGGTTGGAAAACCACTCAAAAGATGATAGTTCCCACATGGGAAAAAGTTGCCCGTGGTCATCTGGGGGCCCATCCTACCAAATGGCAAACAAGCTACCCATGGTGGTTGGACAACCTCTGAAAAGATGATACTTCCCACATGGAAAACTCATGGTCATCTGGGAACCCATGGATGATTGATCAACCCCCACACATCGCTCAGCTCTTTTCTGCCATCCGGAAGCTTAGGCCCGGCACGGCGGCGAGGCTCCCATAGATCACCAGCTGCAGGAAGAACTTGTAATTCCCAAGGCCCACCTGGGTCAAAATTAAACCTAGATGACCGCAGGTTTTGGTCCATGTTTCCATTTACCAAAGTTCCATTTGGGGTACCTATTTTTGACCCACAGCCACCTGGTTATTTGCTGCCATGGGAATAACAGGCACTCCTCGTCAAGGGAAACCCGACCAAAAAACGGCACTAAACATGGGCTGGGTCTTCTGTGGCCATGGGAATAATAGGCACTCTTTTTTAAAAGAAAACCTGAAAAAGAGAAAAGACAGGAGATTGGCACTCCTTCTTTTTGGTTGATGAAGGGACCCCCGGCAATGAAAAAAGGAAAAAGGGCGCGCTGGAGGTCTGGGGTGCAAAGGGACCCCTTTGGTTTCTGTTGAAAAGAAGCGACATTTATGCGGGCTACTTGGCAAACCTGGTGCAGATGGAAATTAGATTTTGCAATTCCCCCCCTTTGAGTTGCCCACGGAAAGCGAGCTGCGCCATCTGCTAAAAAATCCCAAGGACCCCAACTCCCTTTGCTTCTCCGCAAAAATGACACATTGAGAAGGGCTCAATGAGATGGTCTTATTTCCAGGAAACCAGGGCAAGCACAATTTCCCAAGGATGACCGGTGCCGGGTTCTCAAGTTCAAGTACAGTGGCTCAGTTGCCCAAAGGACCTGGAACTGAAAGGCTAATCTGTTGGGGTCATGACTACATATTCACCAACATTGGAAAACCAAAAGAGGTCAACAAGGTCGGCTTTGAACAACCGAGGTGGAGTGACCTACCCTTTCACCCCGGAACCGGGGTCCGAAACAAACGACCGTGAGCCAATCGAACCTGAGCTCGGAATTCCTGTCAGCTCGTCTGCCAGCTTCCATGATTGGAGTGCTCAGAGAGGGTAAACCGTCACGATGTACAAATATGGGTGTGGCTCAAAATTAAAGTGCCTGGGTTGCGCAGGTTTTAGTCTTTGATTCCATCTACCAAGGTGCAATTTTGGTACATCTTTTTGAGCCACAGCCATATCTGTAAACAACCAAAACAACATCTGTATACCATGAGCCTGGAAAACCCAAACAAATCTCTGTAGCCATGACTCATGACCATTTCTCTAAACCGGCAAGCCCATTCTCCGATCCTGTTGGGAAAGGGCCCTGCATCCCAGCCCAGTGGCTGGCTCGTTTCACGTTCTTTTTGTCGATGCCATTTTCCGTGGGCCCCGGAAAAACAACAACGCAACAAAAAAAAATGAGCCAAGTCTGAGAAGTACCGTAGCATGGGCTGGCGTTACCTAAGTGGGTCCAAGCGGCGATAATGCCGCCTTTTTTCCGCCGGAATTCATCCGTCTAAAACTAGGGGAAGCTCCTGGCCCCTTTTGCCAACTCCTAAAGATGTGTCGACTTGGACCCCCAACAGAGTGATTTGTTTCTTTGGTTCCGTTTCGGCCAATCCCGCGGGATAGGGTACACCAAACACATCATCTGAGCGCCGCCACGCAATTGTTGATCCAGGGACAGTAGTGGTCCATCCCTGAGCGTGATTGCTTGCAACTTGGTGTCAAGCATGCTGGCTGTAGATACGGGATCTGCGCATAATAAAAAGTACTTGTGGGGTGCAAGCATAGTACCTTCCCAACAACCTGCGGCCTCAAGCCCATGTTTGGAAACATCGTCTTGCAACCTCCAGTCAGGTGCCCTGTTGAAGAGAGGGCATCTTAACAAACAGGGGGTGTGGGTATGTTAACAAATTATCCATCCGTTCTCTTGGGAAAACTAATCATCATGGGCTAGCATCCAGCAATGCCCATGTTCTTCCAGTGTTTGGATCCCTGAAAAAACCTCCGCGCACAGGGTACGACAAAGGGAGCATCCAACAAGTTCTGCAGCTGCGAAGACGAGGGACCCGGGAGCCAATTTAGCGCCACGGGGGATCATTATTTTCCTTTACACGCCCACCAAAAGGGCTCCTTCTTTGGAGGGGTCCAACTGACTTTAAGGCGTTTCTCTTACGTGGGAGTTGAGGATCGTCCTTAATCCCGTAAAGGGCCCGCGATGTCAGGCATACGGGTGTCCGTCAGAGCCCCCTTTTTGAGTCTGCGTCAATCAAGGTGTTGGCTCTCTGATGCGGATCTCTCCGGTGCCAGTGAATTTCGGATTGCTGCGAGCATGTCAACTGAGGACAGAACAATGTAAATGCTCCTATATACTCCAAAAATAGGAATTATGTGGGAAACCACGTACTAGAGCTTCGGCCTCGGCAACTGAGTGGCACCAAAGATAGAAAGTAGCCCAGAAGCCCCCATTCGCATTCTTTCGCGCCCTGGCCAGTTGGCGCCAGGGATCTAGAGGTCGCAACATCTGCTACTTCATGCAATGCGCTGAAATGACTAGCGGTTGCGGGATTTGAACGGTCAGAAAGGTTCGGATCTACAGGCCGTGGTTTCCCAAAGGCGTTGGTTTTTGGCAGACCCCTCCATTGCACCGCGATGGGGTCTCATAACATAGCTACTTTGAGGCTTTGGTCCACAATAAATCTAGTTTCTCGTCTGGCCAAACACCTCCTATCGACGGTTAGTGGGGACCACCACATGAAATCCCCGTGGTCATGACTCCCAAAGAAGGAACCTTTATGTTGGTGATCCAAAACGGAGATGAGCACACCTAAAAACCGAGGAGTCGTTTGACCATGGATCATGGAGTATTGCTGAAGCCCAATGCTTTATCCCATCACCGCTCATCCTCGACATGGGGGTTGCCACAAAATCCAAGACCTCTTTTTGTTGGCACGATTATGTCCTACAAGTACTACAAGAAGGAGTACAACTAGAATACTCTGCCAACCGCTCACCTCATTAAACATCCGGATTCTAATGAATCTCTGGTTCAAACGCCTCTGCAGGTGTTTACAGTAGTTTGATTCCAGCCATTGAACAAGCACAACTAAAACATTGACTGCCTCTTGGTGTTTTCCAGAGGCAACTTCCACATCTTTGCCTGGAGCCCTGCGGCCACGCTTTCCAAACACAAGACACGGAAACGCGGCCGGTTTGTGAGGAAAGCATAGGAATGAACGGACCAGGAATCAAGCAGAGTTCTCGGCAACGTGAAAATGCAAGGAACTTGGACTTGTAGGACCGTGACGAAAGATGGACCAAACTTCTAGCGGTTGCTTCCCCATTCTTTTCAGCCATCGTTATTTTCAAACACCAGCCATTTCCCCAGGGTTTTTGGCGATTTTCTGGAAAAGGACCCCTGGAAAGAATGGGGAGCTACCGATAGAAAACTGGGGAAACCTTAAAAGCTTCAACGCTTCTCACAAGAGGACCACCGATGGGACAGAGGCTTCCCTCCATGGCCCCATGCGGAGCACGCAGAAGCCGCTGACGTTGCAGTGGTGCGCCTTGGGAGGGAAATCCACTGTGGTGTTCAGGCCCTTTGGGCAAAAAACTTGTAACTTTTGCTGGTCAGTGGGGAAAATTGTCGTTTTCTTAACAAAAACTGACGGTAGATGCGGATAGAAGCCAAAAGGACATAACGCGTTGGGCCCTGCAGCCGCGGATCTGATTCATCGAAACCAGCGGCCAGCGTGCGTGTGTCACGACAAGCTGCCGCAACCGAGGACAAAACCGTGCACTCATGCAACGGCTTTCGGAACATGTCGGGCGCTGTGAGGCAAACGGAATGTTAGATGCATGTTAACTTTGAGACTGGTCGGTACCAATTCTCAAATCGGCACAAGTTGCGTCGAAGGCTGTCACGAGATGTGACACAACCTCACTTGCCCAGAGGTCCTGGACATACAAGGGTTGACCTTGAACCTTAATGAAATATCAAATATGTACTAATCGCTGTTTCAATGCTGCTTCACCACAAATTCTTCAGTGCTTGATCTTTCCACCAGTCGACGCAACGCGGCGCAACTTGGGCTCCCCACACCTTTTTTGCAAACCGAGATAATTAGACCCCAAACACCCAGTGGCCACGAGAAAGGGCAGGTTAAGGGCAACCTTTCCCAACCAAAACGCACCCGGAGGGCTAGGAGACCAGATCGCTCATCAAAAACCCTGAGGGAACCGCATTGAGTTGCCTCTCACTTTGATGTTCTCCACGAAGGAAAGCCGGAGCAAACTGAGCCGCGCCGCCAGGTGCTTTTGCAAGCAAAACCTTAGACGTGTAAAGGGGACGTCTTCGATTTGGGCCGCACACCGCTTTCTTTGTCAAAGGAACCAGAAACACCACACGTGCGATTCGACCTATTTCCCCCCCCCTCCCCCGCGGGCTTGATTGTGGGCCGCACTCTTTCCGGCCGAGGGATGCTGCACTTTCTGCAGAAAGTTGCCTAGCCAGAATTGGCCCTTTCCACTTGTGTCAGTCAGTGGATTGAGTCAAACTATGCCTACATATATGGGGGTTGTCCTATATTCCTCTGCCCGGGGTTGGGTCCTTGATCCTCACTTGCGCGGCACTTGCGCGGACTGTCACGCAGAAACTAGGTTTCGTTAACCTCGGCGTGCGAAGTGTTTTCGTGTGGATTGCGCGCAAGCTTTTCTAAGCAGTGTGTTTGTCGTTCACACAGCAGCCCACAAACGCTCTTCCCGCTGAGGTCGCTCCTAGCAATTCTCGGCGAGCAACATACCCTTGACCAACAGAAGCACACCACACAGCTTGGACACAACCTGAAAGACGCAAATTGCTCGTCGCGGCTGCCTATCCATTGAACCGCACCGCGAAGGACATTCAAGATAGCAAATGGCTAGATGTCTTGCTGGGGCTTCTCGCGCTTGCGCGCAAATTGCGCGCGGCTTGCGCGGCTTGCGCGGACTTTGCCGTGTCAGCTGCTGATTGTTGAAGTCATGACCGCAGAAGCTTTGGCTTCGTTTGGCGTCTGACTGAAAAACACGCCGCACCTTTGCAAACAAGCTTGTGGCCTTCTTCTGACCCAAGCAACATTCAAAAAGCACAAGTACAGTAAAAATATATCACCTCCTTTAATAAAGCTAGGCAACATCAGTACATGAACCTTCAAAACTGTAACCTTGCTTTTCCCTTGGGCCGCACTTGCGCGCTCCTTGCCGCGCACAGTTTTGGACAACTTCTACTTCTCCCCGTTCGGCGATAATTAAAACCGAAGACTGGGGTTTTAGGACGGCCCTCATGTATATATATATATATAATACATACATATGCAACCAGTAGTTGCTTCTGGGTTTTTACATTGCGGTTCTGCCTACTTATTGTTGCCAGATCCACTAGTTGTTTGTGCTTCACAGAAGGGTTTCCCGGCGCCGCGTAAAGAAATCACATCCCCTTTCGCATCGGGTGGCACGTGGAGCGCTTCCGAACCCCAGGGGCCTCGTTTCACGAATCACTTTACATCTATCACACGTTGACCCGGCAACACATTCACCCACAATGCGTCTCGGCGCCGTCCCAGGTGCTGGTGTACAAAAGGGAAACATCAACAAAGCAGCTTTCTGCCAGAGTTCCCACTAGCACATGATCCCAAAAACTGCATGAGCCACGGTCAGCATATTCGTTGTGAGCTGGAATTGGGCGAATAACCGATACGTTCAATTGGCAACTTGGGGTCTTGGCGACGCACCGCCCCCTTTCCTCAGATTCAAATGACGGCGAACAATCGAAAAGGGGCTTCAGGTCTTCCCAAGTTTGGAAGGTTCAGTGGAACATCGAATGCTTTCCGAAACGTCTGGGCGATTCTGCCAACAACCCGCATTGTGACCCATCAATGATAACCCCTCACAAAGCGGATGGCGCCGAGCGCGAAGGTAGAGGCTTTGGAGGTATGCATGCTTACCTTCAAAGCCCGCACCTGACACTGCCCTTCACAAAAACGACATGTGAAAGGACACTGGCTGCTGCTAGCCCATTCATCCAACCAGCACCCAATCATCCAAGCTGCTGTCCATGCCAGACACAAAGGTATCTAACTTTGCCTGCGCAAAGAATGAGCCAAGCAAGGGATGATGGAAATTATTTTGGGCACACTTGAAGTAGTTGATTTGCCCAATGCTTGGTGCAAGAATCCATGTATTCCATGGCCGTCGAAATCCAAAAATGTCCGACGAACGCCGGTGGATTGAGGAAAAGCCGCAAAGTCGCCCATGGTACTGTGGCGGTGTGCCTGTTTGTACCCTGTGCCACAAGAATATCTGCGTTTTTCTTCAGCCTTTCGACGATTGGACGCTTTGCGTCGCCGGAAAGCAATGGGACGATGTCAACCAATGGCGCAATCCTGCCGTGCTCAATTCCGTGCAAAGGTCTTCCGGCAGAGAGATGGCCACAAACTTAATAGACTTCTTGCGACCATTCAATATGCCATCCATTGTATCAGCATCAGAGACTCGTCGGCCTTCACCAATTCAAGTCCCAGGAACTTGAACTGCCTTGGACAAAGGTAAGGACATCTGCGCACAAGCCCTGCTCTCTCCTGTCAGCAAGTATGATAGAAATCAGCTAACATCTATTGTTTCGACACGGGTGGAAATGTATGCAACACATTCTCTGATGCAGCACGTGCATAATCACATCAACAGCGCTGGCATGTGTATGAGCCTAGCTGAACCATATGACAGTTGCCAACATCCGCTCTTTCTCATGCGGACATACTTATACTCAATGTCTGCCATGTTTGGAGCTCGAACACCAACATGGTGTTATGTCATTTTGTTCCACACAAATGGTGATGTTCCTCGATATGTTTTATTGGTTTCTTTGTTTTTTGTTTTAATATATAAAACAAAAAGACAAAGCCATATTTGTCTTCGCGGAAAAGCGTCAAACAACATCGACTCGCCAAGCCGCGGAGCTGAACCGTGTCACCTGTCGCCATCTGAGGACTCACCTGGGCACGACCCCTTGTGACGCAATGCCGGTAGGGACAATGAGTGTGTCTCACAATGGGGCCCATCTTTTTTACGGCTGGTTTCCCTTTGGCTTCCCTTTCAATCCAACCAGAAAAAAGGACCCTTAAAAAAAAGGACAGGACACCCACATGCAGCACCAAAAAGGTGTTCACGTCAAAAGGGTTAATCTAAGTCTTCGATCTGGCAACTCGAGATTTCGATGTCACCCACTAGGCCAGTGGTGCTCAGACCCTTCTTCCGAAGGGCGCGGACATCCGCCAACTCCTCACAAGCTGGCCAGTGGGTCTTTTTCAAAGAGGTCCCCGAAAACAGTTGGTTTCTTTTTAGCTTCTTTTCACCAACCACCGCGCTCATTTTGAGAAACCATGTCAAAAGGCCCTCGACAGTTGTTAGAGTTACATACCAGGCCACGTGCTTTTGTGGGGAAGTGCATGGGTTGACAGCAACCGGATGGGCAGGCTGTTGATTCCTCAAGAGAATTGCACGCGTAGCTCACTACCCTTGTCCTTGAAGAGTCGCAGCAGCGAGAGGATAAAGGCGGCTGCCAGGCAAATCAATAGGAAGAGGAACACGGACTTCCACCCAAGCTGATCACTTAGCATTCCCACCATATACCTTGGTAGACCGGCAAAAGCTTCAACCCTCTAGAGGGGAAATCCGAAACATGTTCCTGGCGAAACGGTCTAAACGGTCCTTCAGAAACCCAGGCTTTTACATGGTCCAAGCCCTAAAAGCTGAAAGTCCAGCAACTCAAAGCAGAGAGAACCAAAGAGAACCAAGATACTGGCCCACGGCTGCGCCAACCGCCCCAGTGCCGTCAATGATGCCAGTCACGGTGCTGATGGCCTAACTGCCAATCCCCGCCGCATCTTTGGTTTCTCGGGTCAACTTTGGGTTTTTGTTGGGGCTTTGCTTGTTGTTTCTCTTGTATGTCTTGTTGGTCTACCTTCGGGTAGTATTTGGGAGTTTGGGTAATTGTTGGGTTCTTAGGCAAATCAAAACTTTTGGGCTATTGAGTTTCTCAAAAGGTGCTTCGACCCCATTTTGGTACCCAAACGACACCAACCAATTCAGCGACCCCCCCCTCTGCGTTTGGAGCCACTATTGAGCTCTGACCATTTCAGGAGGAACCCCCACCCAATTTTTGACAGCACACATTCTACGCCCCTTTTCGTCTTTGTCCTGTCGGTTTCCAACTTTGTTCCACCCCCCCCACCCTTTTAGCAGATCTCAAGCATAGGCGTCCTTTTTTAGTGGAAATTAGATGGCCCTGGTAGTTGATTGAAAAATCAGGCAAGCCAGGAATCGCCCTCGATTTTTCAAGCAAACCAGGGCCCTCGGTTTTTCAACCAAACCAGGGCCCTTGGTTTTTCAACCAGATCAACCACTAAGGACACCTATGATCAACGCTTGCCGAGGTGCGCGCTGGCCCTGGAGACTCGGATGCTTCCCCAGGTCCACCGAGACAGCAGAGGTGAGGGCGTCCGCGGGACCCCCCTGGAAAATCCCGCAGCAGAAGATGGCCCACTTGATGACCTCAGGAGAAACATACCCCCCCCCCCCCCCCCGCATTTTTTTTGCGGGCATGATCTCAGGAAGAATGCCAACCCCCCCCCACCCCCCCGCATTTTTTTTAATGGGCGGGGGTGTCTCCAAGCTTGAGCAAAAGGTGGCTTGATTTTGAAAAAGAACCGACTTTGGGTTGATCCCAGCTTTTCCCTGAGCAACAGGTCAAGTGATCGACCTTTTTAATGGAACAAACATGCTTCCAAAAGATCTAAAAAGCAAAGGACCGACAACTTTACGTTGGAAACCAACCCCAACAAGCCCCATACAATACACAACTTGGGTACCGTCGAAAACGGCTGGTTTTCGAAAAGGACACCAACATTATTATTCCCATTGAGCCAACCTGAAAAGCGTGCCCCAAAAGAACTCACACAGCCACATCAAGTTTCTAAGAAACACTGAAAGGCTGGTGCCGCAGTTGCACGTCGGGATCGGCTGAGAAGCGCATCACTGTCATAGGAATCAGCGAAAAAAGCAAGAAACCGCTCACGATTGGGCTCCTGAACATCAGGGAGGGCTATACATCAGATTGGATCACATCGGCTGATACGTGACCAACAAAAAAGGCGAATCGTAGACCGGAAATCATGATCCTTGTGATACCGACTCATATTATATATATATATATATATATACCTGGAGCACCCTTCGTTACCGAAATTTCTGCCCTTAGCCCAAACGTATTGCAAAACCAGGGGTCGTCACCAAAATACGGTAAATGTACACTTTTTCCTGCTTCGAGCGTTTTTCCCAAAAACGGGCTGGTCGGTCCTCCAAGATGATTGGTCGCTGAATTTTCGAAAGGAGCGAGCAGAATTCGAAGTGCAAAACGAGCGCAAATATCCGCAAAACGAGCGCAAATATCCGCAAACGAGTGCAAATTCAAAAAACGTAACAATGCCGGCCGTCCTCTGGATGGAAGAAGGGATTTGGTCGAGCGTTTTTCGGGGTGTGAGCGTTTTTTGCGGGGTCGAGCAGAAATCGGTAATTCGAGCGTTTGTTTCTCGTACCTAAAAAAAGGGCACGTTGGGTGCCTCAGGTATATTTGTACATATATATATATATATATAATATTTACACGCTAACACGACACAACCAGCCACCGAGCACCCAACGCCTCCCGTTCTTTCATTTCCTTTTCCTTTAATTCCCGTCAGTTCCTGGGATTTGAAGTTCACTTCCGCTGCATGTCTTCCCTGCATGTCTGACAGCTTCCTGGCATTTCCCTTCACTTCCTTTCGCTTCATTTACGTTTCTTCATTTCCTTCCCGTCCTCCGGTTCCCTTCGCGTTCTGCCCTTGCATTTTCCTGCATTTTGGTTTCTCTCCAGCGCCCTCTTCACTTTCGTGCAAGTTCTTCTCACTTTTAGTTCGTTCACTTCCGGTCACTATCATGATAGTCATGTCCACGCATCTTCTGCATCTCCAATGGTTCCTAACGGGACAATTGAAATGTGTACAAGAAAGAGATGATGATGACACTCATGATGAGCCAAGAAGAAGATGATGATGAGCACCATGATGATGATGATGATGATGATGATGATGATGATGATGATGATGATCATGATCATGATGATGAGCCGATGTCATGATAATCATGACGATGCATCTTCTGCATCTCCAATCAAGAAGAAGATGATGATGAGCACCATGATGATGATGATGATGATGATGATGATGATGATGATGATGATGATGATGATGATGATGATGATGATGATGATTGATGAGCCGATATCATGATAATCATTACGATGCATCTTCTGCATCTCCAGTCGGGTCTAATGGGACACTTAAAACGTACAATCGACCGTGATGATGCTGATGACGACGTCGAATCTTCGGTTATTCTCAACCTTAACTTGTGCTGTAACCACCCTTCCCGTGCGCCTCCCCCTTGGTCGGCGGATATATGGTGCAGCATCCCTAACCCCACCCCCTGTGGTCGTGTGGTTGGCCTGGGGGTTACTTTAGGATTGGTTTAGGGTTGGGTTAGGGCTGGTTGTGGTTTTAGGGGTTGCTTTAGGGTTGGATTGGGGCTGGGTTAGGGTGCTCCCTCCGCCTTTGGTCCTTGGTTGCGTTGTGGGTTGGTTTAGGATTGGTTTTGGTTTGGGGGTGGTTTGGGGGTAGTTTAGGGGTTGGTTTAGGGTTGGATTGGGGGTGATTTGGGGTTTGGTATACGTGGGTTTAGGGTCTGCTGGTTGGTTGAGGGTTGGAATACTCGGGTTGCGGGAGGGGTGCCGGGGTTGCGTAGTCGTTTTGGGGAGGTATGACGGGCCCGGGCGGGGTTTGCGGGGCAGCAGGGGGTCTTGGGAAACCATACCTGGGGGGGGGGTGATGGGGTGGGGTGGGGTGGGGTGGGGTGGGGTGGGGTGGGGGGGTGGGGTGGGGTGGGTGGGTGGGGTGGGGTGGGGTGGGGTGGGGTGGGGTGGGGTGGGGTGGGGTGGGGGGGGTGGGGGGTGGGGTGGGGTGGGGGTGGGTGGGGGTGGGGGTGGGGGTGGGGGGGGGGTGGGGGTGGGGGTGGGGGTGGGGGTGGGGGTGGGGGTGGGGGTGGGGGTGGGGGTGGGGGTGGGGGTGGGGGTGGGGGTGGGGGTGGGGGTGGGGGTGGGGGTGGGGGTGGGGGTGGGGGTGGGGGTGGGGGTGGGGTGGGGTGGGGTGGGGTGGGGTGGGGTGGGAACACGGGACATGGTACCATCTATATATATATATATATTGTATACCCCTATACTATAGCCCAGAGCACGGGTGCAAACACTATCCTGTTGACACCTGAAGCTACAGGCACTTGAATGGCTTCGAGCCACATGTTGTCGGGTGCTCACGTCCAGTAGGCTAGGATTCCACGTCCGGATGGGGGTTCACTCACAGAAAGCTTAGTGTTCAGAAACAGTTCAGAAGTTTTAAGTTGTAGAAACAAACACGAAACAATCCATTTGGGAAGGAAACAATCCATTCGGGGTTCTGAGTCCCACTCTGCGAAACACCCAGTTGGCATGTTGTTTTGTGCCGCCGTCTCCTCATGGGCATGCCTGCCCAGTGTGTGGTGACGTCACTAGCCAAGCCCGCCAAAATGGCCCCCACGATGAAGCCCATGTCGAAGCGGGTGGCCATCAAAGATGCCAGGGACTTGTCCACACCGATGCCCTGACAAATTTGTGCCCTGACAAAATGGGTGTCTGTCAGTATATATTTCCTTTGGTGCCCAATGTTTCAAGAAGTCGAACCAATCTGGAGGTTCACCCACCAATGTTGGTTTATGCCCAGCCCGGGAACTGCCCTGCCTTGCTCAAATAAAAGGGCAACCACAGGAAGAGGGCATAGTTCACCAGCTTGATGAACATGTAGCCTCACAGTGCACAACCCCAACTGTAACAACCAAAACAAGCACCTTGAAATGCTGAAACGAGAGTCGAGTGCTCATTTCGGCATGAGTCCAAGAAAGATCCAGCCAGTTTGCAAAACAACAACAACAAACAAAAACAAGTGAAGGTCAAGTGACTGAAGGAATATTGCAATAACCCCGGCACCTGGAGGATCTTCCACAAGCTCGCCGAAGAACCGGCAGTCTCTTCGTCCACGGTGGCCACCTGGGCTTTCCCAGCTGCGGCTTCCTCGTATTGCCAGGTCAAGGAAAATGGAGGAGGAGCCCCGCGCAAGAAGATCATATTCACCACGGCCCAGACAGTCATAAATCCTGTGCGGGGAAAAAAGAAGACAACACTCCCGTGGTCTTAACCTCGGACTAATCCGGAGGCCCGTACTAATCACGCTAATCAGGGGTTGGTCCCGTGCTAGTAAGAAGATCTGACTAGAAGGGTCCTCCGGATTAATCGGAGGTGAGGACTACATAAACAGTGGTTGCAAACCTTGGCAACTCACTTGTGACTGACATTTGGATCTCTGGAAGAGCATTTCAAAAGTGACACTGACATGAATGCTGTGTTTTCTGGCCAAGCGCGCCTGCCAAGACCCACAAGATGACGAACCATTCAGTGGTGTATAAAAGGGCTGAGGTCACATGAAGACCAAAGATGTCACCCACATTGGCATTGGTTGCCCAAAGGCCCATGATAAAACCTCGCCCTTCCTGTGGAAACCAGTTGCCCATGATGGCCACAGTGGCTGTCCATCCTGTCGCCTGCACCAAACCCTCGGTGATCCGGATCAGCACCCAAATGATGTAGCAGAAACCTTCTCCGCCGCACCCGGCGGAGCCCAAGACTCCTTCCACAAATGCCAGCAGGGCACAGCCCAGCATGCCCCACACTAAGGCGCGCTTTGGGCGCACGTTATCGGCAAAGCGACCACACACGAACTGGCCAATGGCATATGCGAACATGTATCCTGTTGACATCGTACCCAGTTTGGTGGCGGTAAAGCCTTCCTCATCCGTCATGGAAGAGGCGACCCCGGAAAAACTGATCCGCTGGGCGTGATACATGACATAAGTCATGAATGTGAGGAATGCTACCAGAAGCATGCGAGCATCCATGGTGCAGGAGCATTTTTGCCGCTCTTCCAGCGACTGCTCAGGGCCACCATAGATAAAATCCTGGATCTTCCTGACCATTGCGACAAATCAGAGAATGCACACTGTTTCGCTGCTGGTCACAAAAGCTGCGGGATGAACATTATTCGAGGTAGTGGTTGCTTACCAAGCAATTGGGAGTGTCTTAAAATCGAGGCCCAAAAATTGTGGGTGTCCCTTCGGTTTCCCTTTCAAACTCACAAACTCACCCTGAAAAGGGGCCCAGAACAAAAAAGACTTGCTTACTCTAGTGAACCATGACCCCTCAACAAACCGCTTCAAGCCACCCCCCCCCCCCCCCCCAAAAAAAAGAAAAAAAGAACGAAACTCCCCCCCCACAACAAAAACACCCCAAACAAATCAAAACAAAACAACAACTCGTGGTTTTTGCCTCTGGCTTCCCTTTAAACAACTCACGGGCCAACCACCCGGGGAGCCCCACGACGTCCAGCCCCTCGCTCGATCCAGCGCCTTCCCGGGGGTCCATCGAGCCACGGAGGGCACCACTGGCAAAGCCTCTAGCGCTCGCGGCGTTGAGCCGGCGGAGGTTGGGATAGTCGGGTTTCCCTTTTTCTTTCTTCCCCTTTTGGGAACTGTTTGCTTGTGTGTTTGGTTTGGTCGTTCTTTTTTTTTTCCCCCCGGTTTCTTCGGTTTTTTGGGGGCACGTCTCGTTTCCCTTTTTGATTCGGTTTTTTGGGGGGCACGTGTCTCGTGTCTCGTGAGCTTTTCAGTGGGTCCCATGTTTTTTTTTGGGGGGGGGGCACATCTCGTGATATATTTAAAGTTAAAGCGGATCCCATGGGGGCATGGAGGCACATCTCGTGTTTGTTTGAAAGAAGTTATTGCTCATTTTGTTTAAAACGAAGGAAAGACATCAATGACACGACATGTGGCTTGTTTCTTTGAAGAACGACAAACACGTCCTAAGCTTGTTCTATTAAACAAATACAGACAAACAAACCCCAAGGCCGTTTTTAATTCGATTAACAGGAAAAACACGGAATCCACCCATCCGCAATCTGTAGTGGATCCACCAGAAGGCATACCACTACCTGGGATAAGTTTGCAGGATTGGTTGTGAACTCAGCCTTTCGGTTGCTGGGTCTCGAAGAACAACTCACAGGATGCCCAAAGACCCCCAGCTCTCCTGAAGTAAGTGGAAAGGCCCACAGCTTTAGCAAAATCCCCAAAGGATTCCCAGAGAAAGCTGAAAGCAACGCGACACAAAGGCTTGGTTTCAGGCTCATTCCCTTAGCGCTTGACTCTAAAAGGGTACGGTCCGAGGGTCTGGTGATGCAAGCTTTGACTTTGAGATCTGAGCGTCTCTTGGCATGCTTTTATGGCAAGTTGCTATGCTGCAGAGGCCAGGGAAGGCAAACGAAAGCGGGAGAAACTTCACGAGAAGAACAAACAACAGCCAAAGCGCTCGAACCGCCCTGCGTCCTCCGGGCAAAGGGTGAATCAAGGAACTTCAATACACTAAACAAGCGGCGGAGTGCAAGCAGAGCGAACAAGTTTTCAGAGCGGGCAGCAGAATGGAGAACAGAGAAAGGCGAAGGGCGGAGAGAATAGCGGGAAGAAGAGCGCAACGAAGATTGCGAAGAGAAGAGGACAGTGAAGAGTGGGCCAAGAGCAGAGAGAAGCAACGAAAAGAGCGGAGCAAAGACTGGCAGCAGACGAGCCTACGAGGGGGGGCGGCAGAGGTGCCGAGAGAAATGTCATCTTTCGAAGCCAAACTTCTTGGACAGCAGGGAGCGCTAGAATGCCTAAGGGAGTGTCATCGGTTAAATTTCTGGTTTTCCCCGTGATCGCTGAGCTGGTTACAATTTGGGGGGGCCCTTACAACTTCCCCAAACCCTGGGATCAATATTCTTGCCTCCAATTCCCATGTCCCAACCCCCAAGTGCTGTCGTTGGGTGCTTGGGACCAAACTCTTTGTAGGTACATCTCGTTCCACAGCCCCGAAACTTGGGACATCCACCCCTTCTGCCGCAAATTGGTAAGTTAAAAACCGCTTTGCTACTCTTTTTGGAGACGCTGGGCCTTTCCATGCTCACCCGGGCAAGAGGAAACCCTTTTCGGGCAACCGCTAGGCAAGCTTCTATCCGCTGTTCGAACGTTTCGCCACTCGCGTCTTGCATGAAGAGTTATATTGACCCGGCGGGTTTCAGGGCAACCATATTTCCAACCTATGTACAACATCAGCCCTCCCAAGAAATCTAAGAAACACAAGGGCCAAGCAACTGACGCTGAAATCACATGCTCAGTGCAGAACTGGGCTTTGGTTCCAAAATTGGTGGTTGCCACCGTGGTCGATGCCACCACTCCCTTTTTTCTTGAATCGAGAGAAGCCGTAAACTAGATGTTTTCCCCTTTCTAGTGGATTCTGTCATATGTCCGCCGACATTGTTCGGCGTGTCGGATACTTACTAGAGGATAGAGGATAACCCCCCCCCTAACCCCCCCCCCGCCCGAAGTCAAATACGTAGGGGTTTGGGGGGGGGGGGGGGTACCCCACGTACCGTGCGGCATTTTGATGACGTTCCACTAAACGTAGTCTTCGGGGAGCCGGTGTCGGCAAAACAGGGGTCCCAGGCTCGATTCCCCCTGCCGGCCTTTTTGCTGGCTTGGGCTTCCTGCATCCTGTTGCCAAAAATCTGGAAAAACTCGGTGTTTTTGGACGTCCTGTTTGCGAAAACCCTGGAAAACCATGTTGTTTTGCGGGAAATACTGGGGAGCAAAGGGGAAGTGCAAGGATACATACATACATACATACATACATACATACATACATACATACATTACATACATTACATACATACATACATACATACATACATACATACATACATACATACATACATACATACATACATACATACATACATACATACATACATACATACATACATACATACATACATACATACATACATACATACATACATACATACATACATACATACATACATACATACATACATACATACATACATACATACATACATACATACATACATACATACATACATACATACATACATACATACATACATACATACATACATACATACATACATACATACATACATACATACATACATACATACATACATACATACATACATACATACATACATACATACATACATACATACATACATACATACATACATACATACATACATACATACATACATACATACATACATACATACATACATACATACATACATACATACATACATACATACATACATACATACATACATACATACATACATACATACATACATACATACATACATACATTACATACATACATACATACATACATACATACATACATACATACATACATACATACATACATACATACATACATACATACATACATACATACATACATACATACATACATACATACATACATACATACATACATACATACATACATACATACATACATACATACATACATTACATACATACATACATACATACATACATACATACATTACATACATACATACATACATACATACATACATACATACATACATACATACATACATACATACATACATACATACATACATACATACATACATACATACATACATACATACATACATACATACATACATACATACATACATACATACATACATACATACATACATACATACATACATACATACATACATACATACATACATACATACATACATACATACATACATACATACATACATACATACATACATACATACATACATACATACATACATACATACATACATACATACATACATACATACATACATACATACATACATACATACATACATACATACATACATACATACATACATACATACATACATACATACATACATACATACATACATACATACATACATACATACATACATACATACATACATACATACATACATACATACATACATACATACATACATACATACATACATACATACATACATACATACATACATACATACATACATACATACATACATACATACATACATACATACATACATACATACATACATACATACATACATACATACATACATACATACATACATACATACATACATACATACATATACATACATACATACATACATACATACATACATACATACATACATACATACATACATACATACATACATACATACATACATACATACATACATACATACATACATACATACATACATACATACATACATACATACATACATACATACATACATACATACATACATACATACATACATACATACATACATACATACATACATACATACATACATACATACATACATACATACATACATACATACATACATACATACATACATACATACATACATACATACATACATACATACATACATACATACATACATACATACATACATACATACATACATACATACATACATACATACATACATACATACATACATACATACATACATACATACATACATACATACATACATACATACATACATACATACATACATACATACATACATACATACATACATACATACATACATACATACATACATACATACATACATACATACATACATACATACATACATACATACATACATACATACATACATACATACATATACATACATACATACATACATACATACATACATACATACATACATACATACATACATACATACATACATACATACATACATTACATACATACATACATACATACATACATACATACATACATACATACATACATACATACATACATACATACATACATACATACATACATACATACATACATACATACATACATACATACATACATACATACATACATACATACATACATACATACATACATACATACATACATACATACATACATACATACATACATACATACATACATACATACATACATACATACATACATACATACATACATACATACATACATACATACATACATACATACATACATACATACATACATACATACATACATACATACATACATACATACATACATACATACATACATACATACATACATACATACATACATACATACATACATACATACATACATACATACATACATACATACATACATACATACATACATACATACATACATACATACATACATACATACATACATACATACATACATACATACATACATACATACATACATACATACATACATACATACATACATACATACATACATACATACATACATACATACATACATACATACATACATACATACATACATACATACATACATACATACATACATACATACATACATACATACATACATACATACATACATACATACATACATACATACATACATACATACATACATACATACATACATACATACATACATACATACATACATACATACATACATACATACATACATACATACATACATACATACATACATACATACATACATACATACATACATACATACATACATACATACATACATACATACATACATACATACATACATACATACATACGAGAGAGGGAGATTGGGGAGAGAGAGGCTTGGGGGGATGGGGAGGATGGGGAGCAGACGGAGGGAGAAAGGACGACAGAACACACAAGGGAGACAAGGGAGAGAGGACGAAGGAGAAAAGGGAGAGGACAATGTCGGCGGACTGAGCCGGAGGCTCTAAAGTTTATATTATATCATATGATGGAATGCTATAGTAGGTAACCCAGATATCTCTGTAGGCTACATGATGGTGATACTGGCTACCCGGGTTGAGAAACCAACCAAAAATTCGATCGATTCGCCTTCCACTGTCCACACAAGGCAGCACTGGATAAACCCAGAGCCGTTTAATTAACAGGGAACCCCGCCTACGCCAAAAGGCGGAGAAAAGAAAGGACCAAACAAATGAGGTCGCCTTGGACTGGTGGCTTGGAAATCTGAACCCCTGGTAGTTGCTTATAGTGAAAGGAACGCGGACCCTTCCCTACAAACCGCAAATCCCAAAACCCGAACTCCAAGAGCCTAATCCACAGGGCTTAGTTTCCCAAGCAAAAACAACTAAGGTAAAATGCTGGGTCTTAGGGAGGCGGGGATGGCTTGGCAGGCATGACAGACAGGATAACTACAGCTTTCAAACCAAGCAAACAAACAACCCGACAAACGACTAAACCAACAAAACAACCAACAAGCAAATCAAACCACAAACCCAACCAACAAACATCCAACATTACAAACCACCCCCTTCCCCGCCCCCCCCCCAAAAAAAACAACACAAAAACATACGTACAAAAAACATCCAAGCATAACCCCAACCCCCCCCCCCCCCACCTCCCCCCCTCAAAAACAAAGACATACAACAACCACCAGGCACCCAAACCACCCAGCCCCCCCCCTCCCGCAGCTTCCGGTAGGTCCCGGGCTGGGCCCACCTCGCGCACGAACTCGTGCCAGGTGTGCGGTACCTCGAAAATGATTCCCACCGATTTCACGCTCCACAGGGCGCCATCTTTGTTTCTTTCTTTCTTTTTGGCGGGGGGGCAAGATCCATGCTTTCTTTGTTGTTGTTTTGTTGTTTTTTCCTTTGATTCTTATGTATCGGCCATGGGCCCAGCTCCATATTTTCGTTGTAATTTTTTGGGAGGGCCATGGGATCCATGTTGTTTTTGATAGTTGTATGGGCCATCACCTGGATTCCTCTTCTTGAATGCCCAGATCATGGATGGGATCCATGTTCTTATTGTTCTTGTATATGGGCCATGGGCTAGATTTCTCTTCTTGGATCCTAACAGATGTAGGTGTTCTTGTTGGCTTCCCGAGCAAACAGGGGTACCTGTTGGGAAGTTGTCCTTTTTTGAGGGTACCCTTTCGGGCATTGGCTCAAGGGGAAAGCAAAGGATCTAGGTTTTAGTTGGGTTATAAGCATGGTTACCTACTTGCCAAGTTGGTCAACGTCCAAGCAGAATATGGGTGCGTCCGTTTTTAGACCCCTATAAAAATCCACTACAAACATCACCGCACCACCCTGGCAAAAAGAAGATCCAAGCAAATGGCCGCCCAAAACGTGAAGGTAAATATGGGGTGCCCTAGAATGGCAACATTGTCCTTTTGTGCTTCTGTTCAATCCCACCCTGTTGAATGTGTTGCAGAAACCTGGGAAAATTCGGTTGACGAGGGTGCAACAAGCTTTAAGCTTACAAACATATATCATTGAATCATATATACATATATATATATATATAGGGTACCCTGAGAAGGTTGGTTTTGGGGCATACCACTCTTGGGGTTCCCGTAGTTGATACTCACCCAACTGGTTTTGAAACATACACCTTGCCAGCCCCGTCCCTCCAGTTTGCAAGCATCCCGTTTCGGAAGGTCCCGTTCAAAGTTTGTCTACCTGAGCTCCTCCAACTGAAGGCTTGGGCCAGTATCCCTTGTAAGCCACTCTCTTGGCCACTCTCTTGTTGCCTCAAGGGGAAAGATCTTGCCAGGTTCCTGTGAAAGACCGTTGCTGTGGCGCTTTGTCCCTGTTGCTAGGGGCAAAGTGCCCAACGCAGCAGTTTAAGGGAAATCAAAACAAAACCTCTGACTTTAGGGAGACTCTATTTTGAGAAACCACCAAACCAAATGGACGAAGGGACAGGAGAAATCTGGGTGCTTCGCTGGCAACTTTAAACACCCTCCCGTTCCTGAGAAACACACAAACACTTTTGCCAACTTTTCGATATGGGTGTTTCCGAAATAGGAACCGGTCCCCACCTCCTTTTGGTGTCCCTTTACCAAGCAAGAGGGGGTTGACCATTTTGAGTCGAGAAACACAGATCCTCACATATGCCACTTTGGTTGAGACCCCCAAACCAAGAATCCGGTGGGTTTCTATACAGACTTCAAAGCGCAAAGCAACTACGCGGGCTTTGGCTGCTCTTGAAGAGTTCCTTTAGCCTAAAAAAGACACACAGATTGGGTGTGTCCTTCCCCTGGAAAAGCGCGAGCTTCGTTTCGGGACTTGGATTTCTTGGTCTTGCTGGTGCTCAGGGAATGACCCAGGGGTTCGGAATGAACCGGAAGGGGGTTCTCTCAAAGGAAGCCACAAGGGATGGCTTATGGGGTTCATTCCCTCATTCCGCGCTGAGGACCAGCAAGCTGTCTTTTTTTGACGTCGCGTCTCCGAACTCGGGAGGATTTGACATCCATCGGCATCGTGCCTTGCCAGCCTCGCTGGCGTAGGCGCGGATGTAGGCGCCCAGGGCTAGGCCCTAGGCATAGCGTGTCCAAAAGACTCAAACCGTCCTTTGATCATGTTCAGTGGGAAAGCCAGCAATCACAAAGGGAACAAGGATGGCAATCAACTGAGGAAAAATGAGGAGGCGCCCCGCTATGTGTCAATTGTACCTTTTGGTTGGGCATGCAAGCTCATTCTTACTCACAACACCTGCTGCACTACCTGGAACTTGGCATTTCGAGCAATCTCCAGGAGCAGAAGCCTGTGAAATCAAGCCGTGGCATTGGCCTTTGTCATACCGCTTGGGTTCCTTGCGGTCAGCGTGTCTTTTTTGGTGTGCCGTGGCGGTGTTGGGGAAGCGAAATTTCAATTCAACTACCTTTGGAAGTCGTTGTCCTTTGAGTCAAAACTGTCTCAGCATGGCATGGCTTGCACCCTTCAACCACCACACCAAAGGGAAGATGTGGTGTGCGACTTTCACCTTTGTTCAAGATTGTTCTTTCAACCCTTTGGTTTCACAATTATGTCAAGGACGCCAGAGGTTAGGTCCTCTGGGTGCATGTTTCATACCACGCCATACATCAAGCATATTTGATGTCCTTCACACCAGAGCAGCTCACAGGCAGAGTACCTCATCCTTTGGCTCACCCTTGCCTCGCTTATGACAAATATCCACCACAACGTCTCAAAAAGTATCAACATCTAACTATACCCAATCGTTATGTCTGGTATACCTGTTTCGGATTGTGCCTTACGCCATAGTACTATTATCGTTATTATTATGTGTCTGATTATTTTTTGACTCATATGATTATTGAGAATTTGCTTCAAATAAGCAGAGATGAACAAAATATGCGATGAGCATGATGATGAAAACACGTTTGTGTCTCTTTGATTTGCCATGGCGGGTCCATGTGCTATTTGAGTCCGTGTGTCTGAACATAGAGGATCCGCAAAAATAATTTGCTCCCTTTGGCTTTCCTTCAGGACCCTGCAACAAGAGGTCTTCCGTTTCCCACTAATCCACGTCCCAACTGGGATTGTTTCTCTTTCAAGTGTTACTCACTAAGGGTTGCCTGAGCAAAACGTGGATCACTTTTTGTAGGTTTCATGGAAATACTCCTTGTTTCCAAAAAGTACTCTTGGGGTGATTTGGTCGCACCGAAGACCAGACACGGAGAATCGCACTTGACCCACAAGAAAACTTGCAATCAGAAGTTCCACATGGGCACTTCACGGAGAGGGGCAATTAGCCAGACTTTGTGGCCATTGGACTGATCTGCCCAACAAGTAGTTCGCGCTCGGAAACTTGAGAAGTGAGGCTACGTATGATACGTACGAGTACGAAGTGAGGTCACACATATACTTTGGATTTGTTGGACACATTGAGCACGGATCAATGTATACTCAATTTCTACACGCAAGGCCTTCGTCAATTGTCTGATGTGCAAAAGTCGACACTTGACGAATCAGTCACAACGACCGTCAAGCTCGAAAAGCACATGAGACCTAGCAAGAGCACCACTCAGGGTAAACACAAAACTAAGCACAATGCCTAGACAGGGTCTGCCCTAACTCTTTTGTTGGATACCAACAGGACTCCTCATCAAACACCGGCGAGAAGCATTTGGTATGTATGCTTCAAATCCCCCGAACTGGCAAGGAACTTTAGCTTTTCCGAAGGAGACCATGAAGGAGACGCCATGAAGGAGACCACTTGCATTTGGGTGTGTTTTTGGAGTCTCGGTTCCCTTTGTATACCAAGTGTCGGTCAAGCTGACTTTTGTTGAGAGAAGCAGCGTATGTGCCAAAATAGAGGTCAAACCAACGGGAAAAGGATGCCTTCAATAACACTACGCACCCATACTATTGTCCCGATTCCGCTGTGCTTTCGCTAGCATAGGTATGCGGGTTTGACCGTAAGGAAAAACAGCAGGAAAAACACAGGATTTCACTGGGTGGGAACACCATCGGATCCCATCCTGAACTGGGAAACACGTGCCTCTGTTTCACCGCGAGCCATGCCTTTCCCTACCGCAAAGGGAAAACGTATTGGGCCTGTCTTTTATTGAGGGTACCCTTCTTTGGGGTTTGAAGGAAAACAAAAAAGAAGACCACCATTTTGCGGGTCCCCAATAAAAAGACACACCCGTATGGGAAGAGGGTTTTCGCAGGAGCCGGCTCACCCGCCCCTTCCATGCAGTGGAATCCTTCCGATAGCAACTGCACCCTGAGGTGACGGCCCAAATGCTGTTAAAGAGCAGGAAGAAGAAGGGAATGAAGTCCGCCTGCGGAGAAGCATTGGTCGGCCGATTGAACGTCGCTTCGGAAGAAATCAAAAAATCACGTTATGCACCCGCATCCTCACAAGACGTGTGTATGGATGACGCTGTCACGCCGACAACGCGCTCTGTGCTTCAGGGACCGCAGGCCGCAGCCTAGACCAGGTTTCTTGGTGATAAAGCCTGGTGTTATTGCTCTTCAGCCGGACAACCAAAGGCACAAGCCCATGTTGTTCTCCTTTTCCTGCTGAGTTGATGCCCAACACGAGGGAGCTCTCCTTGCGGATTGTCCTGTGCACAGGAGAGCATCCTTGTACTCAGGCCTCGTCTCATGGTCTCGATGGCCGCTGAGATGCATGCGCAGCGCTGTCCAGGCTAATCTCGGGTCCAAGTTGATGCATGGCCAATGTTGGTTGCAGATAGAAGAGTCTCTGTGACGAGGGGAGAACGCAAACGAGTCGCTTGCTTCATGGGACTCAATGTATAGACAAATGGTGGCAATCATTGCAAGACTCTGTGCCAACTCAGCTTCACCCTACTGTGTGTTTGCTACATGCATAGCTGTGTTTGGAGGTATCAGCTTCCCCTTGAGCAGGGTTTCTGCCGTGCGTTGGCTACAGCTTGTTGATTCAGATGTTCGAGCAATTCAACCGCAAATATGTAGAAAGCATCAGGCCATTTATGCATTAAAACAATGCAGTCCTTATTCTCCCGTTCACTGCCAAGCATGAGCCAAAGCCGACAAAATGCAGAAATGCCAGGGAAAACACGTGCGACACAGCTTTCGCCTCCAGGTTTTTAGCAGCCTGTGACCTTTTTGGAGACACCGTTTACAGGGCGAAAAAAAGGGCTGCTCCCCTGCTAAAAGTTCAACTTTAGCGGTTTAATGGAAAAAAACACCATTAGTTGGCAAAAGGTTAGAGTCCTAACATCCGTTGGCAAAATGCACCGCTGTTTTGACAACCCAAGTAGGTCCCCAAACCCTAACGCTAAAGAATCAATATGGCACTTCCCCGGCTGCAGCTTCCACCTGAGGCAAAGCAGGTGTGAATGTTGACATGGCGATTCGACTGTGGTTTCTGGAGGTCATGGCCAGCTACTCTCCATCGGAGTGCTGCAACAAAAGCGGAGGTTAGACCCATCCAGTGGACTTGTCCGATGGCAAATGCTGACACCTGAGAATCCCGCCAAACAACTGACTGGGACCAAGCACAGAGCTGCGAAACCCATGGCTCAGCCGAATCCGATACGAGCATGGCATGTCCCGAGCACTCGCATGGCTATGTCTCAAAGTGGTAAACCTTCGGTCGGCGTGGTAAACAAAAACCAATGTCATGAAGACTTGAGTAAAGGGAGCCTAGGATTTCAGTATAAACGACTGGTGGATTAGGGGTGTCCCCTTTAAGAGGGAAACAATCCCAGCTTCATTCATCGAGGCACGATATTATCTGGAATTCACGATATTAGCCGTCTCATGCACAATCTTCATACGTTGGCCCCAAATGCGCTTCTCAAATCATCTGAGAAGGCTTGCAGAATGGGTCTTCTGGCGTTGACATCTCCAGTCGTTGGGAAACCATGGGCCAACAATCAAACGTGTTGATCAATTCCCAGCGCCTTTGTAGCATATTGTTAAGGATATGATATTCAGTCATCAAACCACATGCGCAATGAAGGTGTTGCGCTGCATTCATTCCTTGACTAGAATCCAAAGGAGCAAGCTGTTCAAAGCGTCAGAATATCTCTTGCCGCGGCGGGAAATGGCAAGCCTTGCTCCATGGCCAAGCATAAACCAAGGCAGGAAAACCACAAAGTTGAAAGGTCAGCACTGAGCCCGACCTCCTCACCACCGCTTTCCCTTGGCGCTATTTAGGTTGACTGCTCTAGTGTGTTGGACAGCTACAGTTTGGTGGATGGCAAGCTCCTGGTGCAGATTGGGCGTTCAGAGTTCAAGCGCAGATTCGGCAAGCCAACCAACAACACTTGAGCGTAAAATACCGTATACTAGAGGTGCCCTTGTTTCCCTACTTGCAGCATTTGGGGCATGACCGTACCCTCCCAAAAAACACATAGAACCTGAACAACAAAGCCCTTGGTCTAACAGGGACCCTGTGCTAGGGTCCATTGTGAGACTATGGCAAAGCCTGCACTGCGCAATGCTCCTCCCAAATTCACCAGATACTACTGAACATTCTGACCGACCCCAGAAATAGGCAAAGAAACGTTTGAAGTTTAATCTCAATTCAGGAGTGGATTGGCCAAAGAAGCGTAAAGTGCTTGTTTATTGTATGGTCTTCCCAAAACAATATTTAGTCCAAAGCCAGGTCTGGTTTTCGAGTCAGCAGACGTTCGCTAGCTCGTGCCTTGCCCGCAGCAGGTAGAACACGGCCCAAGAACATCCTGCGTGCCAAAGTCTATAAGCGAGCCGCAAGCGTTGCCGAATTGAAGCAACATATGTCCCCCTTAAGCATCACCCCACTTAAACACGAGACTTGCTTTAAAAGCAACAAACAAGGGGCATATGGCACTTGTAGGGAGCCCGCAAAATCTATGCCTGACCCAAACCTTCTGCTGAACCAAGGGTTCCCTCTTGCCAGTTACGAATCAATGGACGCTCGGGCCAAACAAGGTGTCCCTCACTCCGACCCCCGCAACGTTTAGCATGTCAAGGGACATGCCGCAACTTCGGAAACATTGGGATTCCGACACCTTTTGGCAACAATATGAAACAGTTGGTTTGTCATTGTCATTAGTTGTCCTTTCAGACCCAACGAAAACCGGGTCCACTGTTTTGCCATATCAATTCACCAACGACATAAGAAATGGATCCTCGAAGGATCCTTCTGCATAGGCCCAAGGTCCCCCCCCTCCCCCCGAGGCCGCTGAAATTCGGATATGACTGGGTCCATTCAAGCTAAATTCTCAAAACTGCTGCGGACCCTTTGGTGGATGTCGTTGAAATGGAATTCCAATCGTGGACCCTTTGGTGAACATCATTTACATGGGGATTCATCATTTACATGGGGATTCGTGTCCCCCAGCCATTTGTCAGGGTGTTCCCCATAATTTATAGTCGCATGGTGGTTTACAGGGAAGCCCCCCAAACAAAAACAAGGAGAAAAAAAGAAGAGTGATCCCGTCGAATCCATCGCCGACTGCAAACAAGGATCAAGTTGTAGGCCGTGCCCTCATAGATGAAAACGCCCAAGGTGACGGACATGGTCATCTGCCAGCTCTCACGCAAGCAATACGACGTCCCCAATCTTCTCCTTGGAGCTTCCCAAAATTGTAGACCCCTTTTGCTAGTAGTAAGTTGCAACCATAAATCTTGAGGCACAAACCAGGATAGGAATAAACGTCACTTGTACCATGACGAGATTGACGCGTTTCAAGGTCCACAGGAACAGGCGTCCCTACCTGCAAACTTACAGTATCTTTCAGGCACCCAAGCCTGGAACAATGAGAAGCTCGAAACAACAACTGGTGCAAGTAGGTGCAACTATGCTTCTCTGCACAGGGACTCCACCCCAAATAAGTCGAACTGAAGGGGGCCAGTAGATGTACCTTGAAGTTCATCCTACTGAAGCAAAAGCCAGCAAGCTAAACACAACAATGAAACTATCAAAACAACGGACGCCCCCCCACCCGAAGAACAGGAAAAACAAATCAGTGAAACCAACAAAAACGCCCATCACACAAACAACAATTACGCAAATGTTCAAAACAGTCAACATAACAAACACAACAATACTGCTAGCGAGCGTACACACACACACAAACAAGGGCACAACTCGCCACAACAAGAAACAAACAGGAACCTAATGATCCAAATAAAGCCAAGGAGTCATACTTGCAAAAAAGACAAACAAACAAACAAACAAACAAACAAACATAAACAAACATAAACAAACATAAACAAACAAACAAACAAACAAACAAACAAACAAACAAACAAACAAACAAACAAACAAACAAACAAACAAACAAACAAACACACAAACAAACAAACACACAAACAAACAAACAAACAAACAAACAAACAAACAAACAAACAAACAAACAAACAAACAAACAAACAAACTAACAATAACAAATGATGCAGCACAAGGAACACAGTGACATTCGCGGACCACAACACCCACATGACAACACCAGCCATCAGGGTCAGCACCAGGAACCTAACAGCACCCCAGCCAAGTGAGACTCACTTTTGGCCGGAAAAAGGTGATGCTACCAACCCAACCGGGCCACAAAGGGGAACCCTGCAAAAACCGAACAAGTTGGAAACAAGGTGGGGGGGCGAGAAGCCAGAGGTTGCCACTTGAACTTTCAGAGCCACGGTTACAATATGCCTTTGAATCACGCCAAGGACATCGGAAAACTATGAGGGTTCGTCCGGCTGTTGTGGCTCCCTTGTCCCGAACCCCAAATGGACAACATCCCTTACTCCAAACACCGTTTAGTTTTGCTTTGTTCATACTTTGGCGAACCTTAAGCAAATCTGGTATTTGGCATGTGTGTGTGTGTGTGTCTTGAGGGTACCCTTTTGTAGGTTGGTTTCAAGGTCAACCAGCAGAAACACCCAAGAATTTCTTGGGGTTCTGCGCCTAGGGTGCGGGTGGGTCCCAGTGCCTGGAAGAACATGGTGGAGCTGGTGGTGATGTCGCAGTCCCAGGTTTCATCCTTGGAATCCTAGCGTGACTGGTAAAAACGGTCGCGGCGAATTCGTGAAAATTTGCCACCCCCCAGTTTCAAAGCTCTGGTTCTCAGTTGCCCACAAAACCCAGAATAAAAGGTTGACCCTTTGCAGCCTTACTTAAACATTGACCAAAATGGGAAAAGCAAAAAGGTCAAACAGTCGCCTTGGGCAAGTGAGTCACATTCAAAAGCTGGTATTAAAATGGTCTACCCAGAAACATGTAAAGAGAATAAAGAGGCAGATGCAGCCATTTATGGCTTGAATTGATCCCTTCCTAACCTTCACTTACCCAGGTGTTCGTTGTGGCTCAGTGAGGATTAGCGTCCTGCAAGTTTCAGTGATGCAACGAAAGGACAGGGTCCTTTGGGACCGTTCTGCGGGGGTTTGGCATAACTCCAAGGGTATGTTTGGGCCAGCCGTCGCCTGCAAAATAAACCAGGGCGAAAGTAGATGGGTAAGTTTTGGGGGTCAATGGAGGAGAATTTAGAAAGTTGGTGTCAGGTTTAAGTAGTGTGTCAGCAAGTACTGCTTACTGCCCAGTACTCGTTTAGAATTGTTTGAGCATTCCTGTGATCTACCCCAGTACTGTTCAGAATTGGTTTGGTATCGGTGTAGTATTTCTTCTCTCTTTTCCCTGTTTCGGCCCCTCAACCATTTGTGGTTATCAACTTTTCAGGGCCTTCCCTGCTCCACCCCCCTTGAAAATATGCCTGGGCGGCTTTTTAGAAAAGGGTGTCATAAAGAAGTTGGCTGTTTCGGGCATGGTTTTCCTGGTTCAGGATTGGCTTAGTATTGGGTTTGCGTTGGTTGTCTCCCCTCTCTCTAACAATCATGGAAGTGCGCAGCGGGTTTCGACAAAAGGAAGGTAGTCTTCCAAAACCCTTCTTTCAGCTTCCATGGTTGTTGGAACAAGTTGCTTTATCAGGAAGAGAGCAGCTACCCCCCCCAAAGCCACCCCCCCAAATGAATAAGCACCAACCCTGCGCAACCAAGCAGCGTGAAGGGGAATAAGCCTTATTAAGCCGTGTTAAGCCTTACTAAGCCTTATTAAGCCTAATTAAGCCTTAACAAGCCTTATTTACTGGTTCTCGAATGTGGATTAATAAGGCTTAATAAGGCTTAATAAAGCCCAAACAAACCCTGCCATTTCGGCATGGTCACACCGCAACTGCTCTGCATGTGTAGCGCCATTTAGAGGCCCCCTCTTTTGAAAAGGGGTGAGAGCAGGCGCTGTCCCAAAAGAGGCCCCGAGGTGCGTGGTCAAGCCTTATTTTTTTTTTTGGGGGGGGGGGAGCTTCAAAATTGCGCTATTTGCACAATTCTGGAGCTGCCCCCCCCCAAAAAAATACACGATTTACAGGAGCCACAAAAAAGTGCTGAACCAGGGCCCGGAAAGAAACGCTGAAGCCTGTGCGGCGCGTGCCCGGAACACGTGTCATCTCACTCTCTCATGATTCCTGAAACCTGGCAGTTGACAAGGAGCGTCTAGCCCTTATTTTTTTGGGGGGGTAGCTCATCACTACCTGACTTCAGTATTGATGAGTGATAGTTTAGTACTAGTTAGTATTGCCAGGGCTTGGGATCGTTTTTCCGCCAGATGGGCATCCATATTTGTTCCTCCGAAAAACAAATTTGTCGAAATTTCCCCCCCTTGTCCTTTTCAGGGGGGGGGAGAAGGTTGGGGATGTCCTCCGACATTAAACAAGATGACAAAACCGTGGGAATTGTGCAACCTAACTGTAGCGATGCAGGCACTGGTAAAATATATCACGGAACAAGTTGGGGGAGGAGACAGTGCCAAACATTTGCCAAATAAGATCCCACCACAAACGCATCAGATTGAATAAACATGTCGGCCCTGGTGACATATATACATATGTATATACACATACAGGGCATTATTGCCTTGAGTGTATGTGTATATATATATAAAGTCTAAATCTAATATGTTTATAAACAAGCACAACAAATACATGCCGTGTGTTTCGTCCATGTCCGTTACAAACCGACCATCGCCGCAGCAAGCCGTCCTGAGGAGCCACCAGTGGCCGCGCCTCCTGGAGGCCAAACTCATCATCCATCGTTCTCTGAGAAAAACGCGTCTTTCTAAACAAGCCTCAAAAAAGGCCTGAACACTCGCCTTTGGAACCTTAAAATTTGTTTGCTTTCATGTAGGTCCTGGACACCAAAGATCAACCCTTTCGAAGAACATCACCGGATATTCGGTCTATCAAAAAAACAACGCCACCCTGCGGGTGCAGTCGGTTGGGGGGCCTTCCCCCTCTGCCAGAAGAACATCGATCACCTTTTGGAGGTGAAATATGGATAGTTCATGGAGATCGGTGTCAGAGTCTATCCAAACACTATGTGTGCGTGTATGCATATATCTGTGTATGTGTGTATTTGTACGCGTGTACGTATCTAGGCAGTTTGCAATCATTCGTGCGCCTTGAGGTATTTGTGTTATTTCACGGAGACAACGTAGAGAAGTCGATCAGAAATATGGAAATACGCGCCTGGTTTTGCAACGGAACGCAAAAGCCGTACGAGCGATTCCAAAGGAGCCTAGTTTGGCGACCAATTGTTTGAGCAAAGAAATAGGGTTGTCCTGCGCAAACCTAGTCTTGAAAATCAGGGCTGTTTTCCAGCTGCGGCGAATTCAGCTTCGAACGGCTTCCCCAAAGCTGACAGTCACTCAGTTCTCGCGCTGCACGTCGGACAAACCAATTCGTTCACAAATTCTAGCATCCTCTAGCATCTCCCCAGCTAGCATTTTCACGCACGGGGCATTTTATCTTAAAGATCACACGCAGGCGCATGTTTTTTAAAGAGAACCAGCTCATTTCCAGGGAAGTTCTTGTCAAACTTCGTGTGGTAGACTTGCTAAGGAGGAAGCCTCAAAGGCTGCACGGCCGACACCTTTTTTGCACAACAATGGCCACCTCGCTTTGCGAAACGCTTGGGCCAGTCCTACAGCCTCGCCGGTGCTGAACGCGAGGTGGCGTGCGTTTTCACACTTAAGGAGGTCAGAGTGATTCTTCTGCTTCTGATAAAAAAGGCGTTCTCCCCTCTGTGAGCCCGTTGTTTTCTTTTCCTGGTGACCATCCGGCGGCCATGCCCTAACCCGGATCACCAGCGACTGCCAACCACCTGTCTTTGGATTCTCTCTCACGGCCTTGGCGCAATTGGCTGAAAGATGTCTTCCACGTGGTCCCTGGCAACTATGTTGCGAACTGTCACCCAGTCATCAGTCAGGAGCCCGTTGACCGCGTGCAAAAGATGGAGCTTCTGCTACATTCTTGCCTCGCAGAGCGCAATCTTCTCTGCGTCAGATCCGCCACAAGGAACCTCAATTCCTGAACGTAGCAGCCACGATCCACGGTTGACCTTTGGGGTCATGCTCCACTGTGCTGTGGGCGCTGCTGTGAGTGCGGTGTTGTCAACCTGACTGTTGGGACACACCTGACTCATGCCTTCTGCAGACGCACAGCCATCTCCCAGACACTATCCATTTCCTCGCGAAGGCAGCGTGCGTGAAGGCAAACTGACAACACGAGGCACTTTTTTAGGCAGCTCTGTAAGAGTTGGGCTACCGTGTGCTTCTTGGTCCTGGGCAATGAAATGCCAGCGGAACATCAGCGCTGCCAACAATGTCCACGTAGCACTGCTTCACCGCCACACCCCCAAAGTCTCACCTGGGTTGCAAACACGTCTATACGCCGGCCGGGTCTTGGTCACAATGCGAAGGGAACGCCGGTCGGCCCCCCTCGGCGTTGGCACGGGCTACGCCTTAAAACGGAGAGCAAATAGGAATGGCGGCTACACACCGCCCAAACCAAACAGACTCGCGGCAAGACACTCATGATCAAAGGCCCCATTCCTTCCAGAGCTAAAAGCAGGTTCTCCCTGTCGCAACTTCAAAACTGAAAGACTGAACTTGTGGCAAAAAGAAGCGCCTCTGGCCCAATCTGCGGGCTGTCGACATGCGGACTGTTGAAAGCACGCTTTGCCATTGAAGCGGAGGCGGAGAGCACACTTGTTGCCAGCTGAAGGGTGTGTTGCGCTGTTGGCTTGCAGGAGCTTCGATGGCTTGTCACTGACTCACGTCTTCGTTTTGCTTGAAATAGCCGTGAAGACTACGAAACTTGAGCTCCAGCTGTAGATGGGGAGAGCAGAATCGATCTGTGAAGGCAAGCGCATCCTGCAAAGCAACCACAACAAAAAACGTGCAGTTTGACACCCAAGTGGCAGGACTCGTTCCAGGAAGGATGGCGCACACCAGTCCAAAATAGGTTGCTGGGTGCTCGTTGCACTTTTTGTGGTGTGTATTTCGTTGGTGCATTCGCATGTCTTTTGGTCTGCTAGGCCGTTGTTTCGAAGTGATGGCGCCGACGCCGCTTTAAAACACCTGGATGTATGTCTGTACGCAAGTTGTGTGCGCATGCATGCAGGAATGCTAGCATGTCCCGTATGTAGCTATGCAGGCATCCATGCTAGCATGTTATGTATTGTATATTTATGTATCTATGTACGTATCCATCTATCTATACATGTACGCATGTGAACATGTATTCATGTATGTATGGATGGATAAAATGACACATCAATGGATGGATGCATGCATGCATGCATGCGTGTTGGTATGCAGGTCAGCCATGGTCAACATGTCTGGCTTCCTGGAAAGACATGTAACAACTGGTGAGTCGCCTGGATTGTGTGGGAACACTTAGCGAGTACCCCATGTCCCTCCCAAAGGAGCCATAGACTACCCATAATCTTGGCCACATCTCATATTTAAACCAGGGGTTATGCTAGCCACGATCAAACAATATGCCTTCCCCTGTTATCCCCTGCGATTACTTACACTCCTGCAGATAGACATGAACCCCAAACTACCATCGTTTATGAGATTTTAGAGTGATCTCAGTGATCTCCCCATAGAAAATAGATGGTGGCCACGGAAAACAAAGAGCACACGTGGTTTTGGTAGTTGATCTTAAACGCAAACCCCTCCAACAAACGAAAAACCAACACCACTGGAGGTAAAGAGAGACCTCCAGGGGATTGCTCTCAGTTAGTTTCGCTTCAACCCCCAAACAACTTACAGCCAGGGGAACCGAACACCTCTCTCGTTTTGGTTAAGTTCCGCGTTTCCAGCATATCTTGTTCAATATGGGTTGGGCGCCCCGCGAACACAGGGGTTCAACCTGCAAAGCCTACCGCGGGGCGTGAGCAAAGCAGATCTCCGCGTCCTCCGTACGCTCCGGGGAACGACCACCGCCTGACAGCTCAAGCACTAGACCCGACCTAGAGACCCAACAGCTGTGTCTGATATGTACCGGCCAGGTCAAGATTTGACCTTGACCCAGGATTGGCTTGTTGTGCACCATGTGGAGTTTAGTAAGAGGCAATGTGTAAGATGTCGGCACGTTGACCATGATCATATGATTTGTATTGATTTGTGGGTGTGAGTTTTGACTAGCAACCCTGTGGCGGACATCATTTACATGCGGACTCATGCCCACCAACCGTTTTGGAGGTTGTACACAGCCAGGCCGGGCCCAATCGTAGCTTCTTCTTTCTTTTAACAAACAAGTTGGTATCAACTTTCAGGTGGCAACATGCATCACTTCTCTGATCCATGAAAAGGGAAAGTCACTTGACTGAGTCCGAAGTGCAAAGGCAGAAGTCGCCTGAGCCGATTGCATGTGGGATGAAGCTTTGATTGCGTCATCCATCAATGATTCACTTCCTTAATGAACCAAATTTCTGCGACTTGTCGCAATATCTAAGGGATTCCCCAGCGAGGAGTTGCAGTGCAACGACTGGAAGAGCTTGTGGAACAACGTCCGGGGAAGTCAATGCGACTAGCATAGATTTCCCAAATGAACCCAAAAACACTACAGACAAAGTAGAACTCCTGGTTGATTTTGACCTGGGAACGCAACCCATTCTAGAGAAAAACACGGGTCAATCTTGGGGGAGTTGAACCAAGTTTATTCGGGGGTCATCCAGATTTATCTGGAGGTCTATCAATCGGCCGGTTTATCCGGGATCCTGGGATCCCTGAGAGCCAAAGCTGTGGTTCAGCTCGATCTCATTTCCGTTGCAAGAGCAATACACCTCCCGAAGCCCGGTCAACAATCAAGAGGGCAATCAACTCCATGCGCAAAGCTTTGACATAGTTGTGGCAATTAACCCTTTCTGCACCAAAGTGGTCCATCCCCGCGACCTCGTGCTGATTGTGATATTCAAAGAGATTTCCTGGGGATCACTGAACAGGGATTCAAAAGTTGCAGTTCGTCGGCGGGTTCTGTAAAACATGCCACTCTTGAAGAAACTCCAGGAAGTCGCCCTAACACCAAGCTTTCCACAGCCATGAGCGCAGGCTCCCATGTGTTCCTTTCGCTCAGGCCTGCGCTCATGGTCGGCCTGTCAGGCCGGCGCAGTCGAGCGTCGGTGTGCCTTCTCACCCGCCCTGAGCGACGTCCCCTCATTTCTCGCCATTGACAAACTTGACATACCTCCACATCCGGTGCCCAAGACATGCTTGGTCCAATACGTTGGCCTATACGGCCCATTTATGGACACCCGGGCTCCAGATCTTCTCGGGCAGTCGTGGAATGAGGGGGGAGTAGTGATATGAAGTTCAAGAGTTGGAACCACCTCCAAAGCGGTTGCTGGCCAACCTGACTTTGATGTTCACAGAGGGAGACGCCCTTTGTTTGCTTATTGTGGGATCGTGTCGTTGTCCGCAGGTGCCGCAAAGAGACTTCCTCCATGGAATCGTGATCCCCTTGATATCAACCTACTTTGCAGTGGCCAGGGAAAAGGCAAGCCTTCTTTGGGTAGATTGATTTCAAGGAACCGCAAAGATGTGTCGTTTTGCGAGGGCACTTTGTTGAATTAGTTTGATGCGGTTCTGAAGGAGAGCCGGAAGGAAGCCACCCTGGCTGCAAACATCTTGAAACAAGCCCAAGGGGTACCCCTTTGGAAGGTCCAAGAGTTGTCCTATCAATCATAGGATGGCACCTCAGGTTCCGGCCACCCGAACATGTTGAAGAGGAGCAATCGATGCAGTGCAATCAGAGCGCATAAGTTGTAAGAGCGGGGAACGCAATGGAGGAAAGAGTGGAGCAAGGGGCGGAGCGAAGGGCGAAGATTGCGAAGAGAAGAGTGCGGGGAAGAGTTGGCAGAAGAGCGGAGACATTAGCAGAGAGAGAGAGAGAGAGAGAGCGGAGCCAATAGTAGGGAGAAGAGCAAAGAAAAGAGCGTAGCGAAGAGGAAGAAGAGCGGGGAGCAGAGTGCAAAGCGGAACGAAGAGCGGGCAGAAGTGCGGAGAGAAGAGCAAAGCGCAAAGCGGGCAGAAGCCGGGGGAGCCGTGCGGGCGGTCCATGTGGGAGCGGGGGGGCAGGGGGGGGGAAGGGGGCGGGGGAATGACGTTGAAAAGATTGGACCGCAAACAGTGCGCAAAAATTGATGTCACGGAGTTGAATTTTTCACAGAAGAGGGTTCCCATGCAACCGGTTTTGGTGGGAATTTACCGAGGTTCCCCAAGCCCGTTTTAAATGACGCGTAGACGGCTGGCAACTTTGACCAAACCTCAAAAGAAAATGGTTCATGCCCTCATTGCAAGTGCCTTGGCCGGACTCAGGCCTGCAAGCATATTGTGAGGTTTCGCAAGTTAACGGGGAAATTAAGGCGAGCCAAGCGCGCCAAAAGGCAAACAGCTATAGTTCGTTCTAGTTGATGCGGATTCTGCGGTTTTGACGCGCAACTGGCCCCGAAGAAAAAAAACAAAAAGAAACTATGGAGCGGCTCAGGCGCAGCACCACGCCATAGATACCAGACTAGATGAGTCTGGTACTGACATGAGCTGACCATGGTTGCGGAAAATGACCAGCGTTCTTTGATATCAGCGTGGTTGATCAAGCCCTTGGCAACTCACAGAAAGTGCAATTATCTAAAAACCTCAAATTGGACAATCATGCAAATGGTGGGCACCATGATAGTATCGTTTCAAGCGGGTGCATGATAGGTTGGTTTGCCTTGACCAATTTCGCATAGCGACTATCATTTCTGCAAATGGAAGATACCAAATAAGCAGAAGCTTTTAGCTGGGAAACGAAAGGGGTCAGCTGGCCCAAATCCCACAGTTGCCAGAACTCGCTTCCTCAGTGAATCGGCCAGAACAAGTCTATGTTTTGTTGCTTCCCTCGATAATGGTTTCCCATAAAGTATATATAAGGTTTACGAACTCGGGGAGTTAGAATGAAAAATACCAACAGGAAACCTTGGTGTCCGAGGTTTGCCCTACAAGGGCTAACTCCTGCAAAATGAGCATAGCAGAACTTTGGACGAGAATCGGTTGAGCACCCAGAAATGGACTTGTCTCAATCCTTACAGTAGGGAGCGGAGCTCCTCAAATTGGCCGAAGGGTCTTGGGTGTTTGAATTTAATTTCAACCTGAGCCATCTGAATCGACCTCAACCGCGCCCTTGCGTCCGTGCCTTTGGCAATGGAAGAGGCTCGAACGCGGGCGAAGAAACTTGTTTCAGGCAAAACAACTTTCTGGTTGAAGGGTCGAAGTGTCGCTTCAAGAAGTCGTCGGCAACATAGGCTGCCCTGCTTGTCATAAAGGCAATGACCTTTCTGCCACAAAACAAAAAGAAGCTGCTAACTTCCAACAAGCCATCCAAGCACATATGTTTCTCCTGGTCGACTTGCGATGTTCATGCTTCGGGTGCTTGCTTTCCATGCATTTCCAGCTGTGCAGGCGCGCTTCCCTGTTGGCGCCTACCGTGCCTTGAGCCGAATACCGCCAATTTGTGGTTGGAAGTCACACCACGTCCCGACAGTTTTCCAATAAAACGCGCCCCAACTCGGAACAACATATGTTGCCTCAGAGAGAGCCCTTAAAAAGGGTGGCTTCCCTTTGGGTTCCAGGAGTCGTAGCAGTAGTAGTAGTAGTCGTCGTCGTCGTCGTCGTACTAGTAGTAGTAGTAGTAGTAGTAGCAGCGGTGGTTGTAGTAGTGGTGGTGGTGGTGGTAGCAGTGCTTGTAGTAGGAGAAGAGTTTGTCGTAATTTGTGGTGGTCGTGGTGGTGGTAGTGGCAGTGGTAGTGATAGTGGTAGTGGTGGTAGTATATAGTGTAGTAGTAGTAGTAGTAGTAGTAGTAGTAGTAGTAGTAGCAGTAGCAGCAGTCATAGTTGCAATAGCAGTAGCAGTACTGGTGGTGGTCGTGGTAGTAGTGGTAATTAGGGGTCGTGGCAGTACGTAGTAGTAGCAGCAGTACAAAGTCATAGTCGTCGTGAGTCGCAATAGCGCCAGGTCCATTTTTCAGGGAAGCCCAAATCACAACAATACTATTGGAAAGGTCAATACAGTTGACCCATCTCCGCTGGAGTGGAATGCGTCAATTGCAACAAGCACCCATCTCTACCAAAGTCGCCCGCAATGCCCGCCAATCAAAACCAAGTCAACGCTCTCATCTTCCGTGAGGACACCGGCTCGATGTTTTTCCCAGCAGGTTTTAATTGTAGCCCTCCTTCTCCCCCCCCTCGCCCCCGTGTGACATCCAGTTCTGTGGCGGCTGGTCCTTGCATGGAAGCCCCACGGACGATTGTTTCGCGGCGACTCGCGCTGCTCAGCTAAACCAGTCGTCTTCCTCAAAGACCAACCTGGCGCCGCACGGATGCCGTAAACCAACCACACTGGACCATAAAATCTTGGTAAACTACGGTAAATACCGGGGCTCCGGGCTCCCTTGGAACACTTCGGGCATCCACCGTAGCCATGGTGATTCTTGCCTCTGAGATTCCATGACAGCAAGAGGACTTTGATCTTCCAGGTTCACTCCAGGTGCTATGTTGGTCCACGTATATAGGTGGTTTCTAGGTTGAGACAAGACCACGTCATTAACTTTGAGGTACCCCTTCATTGGTTGTTTGGATTGGTGATTTGGGGTTGAACCTTCGGTTCTGGTAGATGGTAAGTGCGGGAACCAGCCCTAATCTCCGCACCCACCAATCCAAACTATCAATCAAAGTGAAGCTGATTTGAGGCACGCCCAGGTAGATGCGCCCCTTAAGCCTCTTAGAGCCGACGCCCGGGTAGGTGTAAGAGGCTGCAACGGGGTGCCTTCCTTCTTTCCAAAAAATGCGAATCCAAAAGATACAGGGATCCCCCAGATGTGTTACTCAAGTTTGAGCCCATCGGTGAACTTGCCAAACGCAGGTCTCATCTGAGCCGACTTAGCGAGACGCCCTCCGGCCTCCAAAGCTTTCGGCTAAGGGTCCTCTCAAAGTGCTTGGTTTGGGAGTTCCATGAGTTTTTCAGGGTACCTTTGTTTGGTTGTTTTCAAGACCAAAAAGCAAGCCTCCCCACATGCCCCCCAAAAATAGAACGAATACACAACAGCAATGCCGCACCTGTGTCAATCTGCAGCGGTTTCACTGACAAACTCTGCTCTGCGATGTCGAGACTGAGATCCCAGCAAGGCCTCGAGGCTGTTTTGGGGTCTCCCAAAGGCATAGGTTACGGGGCCCATTTGCGAAAATGATGAAACAGGGGCAAAGTAAAAAAGGTACCAAGCCTTAACATACCCCCTACCTTGTGGGGGAGGGGGGTGGGCCTCCTAATTCCGTTTTGGTTTGCTTTCCCCACAAAAGGCTAGGACATATCAACGGATTTCCAGGAGTCCCCCCCTAAGTTCATTTTTACGAAATGGGCGGGGATTCCTCAAAACTGCACACGCAAAAACAGTCCATGCCTTACAGGGCCACCAGCAGCATCCCGCAGCAGGCCCAGCGTGACCTCGCAAAAGGCCGCTTGATGCAGTGCGCACAGACCAAACACTCAGGGCGTTCTCAGGCAGATGGTTTGGAGAGTGGTAACCCCTCAAACAAGGGCTAGGGCAGTGGACCCTAGTGGTATGCGCCACCTGCAAAAAACCCTTGGCTGGGGCTGCGGATTTTTTTGGGGGATGCCAGGAACCGTTCTATCCCTTGTGGGCGGATTCAAGGGCGTTGTTGAATGCTCAACCCGACACCACTCACCACTTCCATTTTTTGAAGGTGCCACTAACAGTGTCGAGTCAGGAAACAATATCACCCAACTCTGTGAAACAGGCCGACATGTTTAGTTTCAGACACTTCAAGCTTTTCTCAACATTGAGGGAACCCCTAGAACGGCTGTGTTCCTTTTTGTTGATTTCCCTTCAACACAAAATCGAAAAGAGAGAAAGAGGCCGCACAACCCCTAACGCACACACACACACAGTGCTTTTTGGGAGATCTTCGCGGCCCCAGTTGCCCAGGGCCCATTTGAGCAGTGTTCTAAACCTAGTTGCGGCCGAAGAGAAGTATCAATAATCCCTTCCGCGAAGTCTTCCGCGGAGCTTGCGCGGCGTAAAAGATTCCTTCCGC